TTTGGTTAAATCTTTAGGAGATTAAGAATTACACACTTTTTTGGCATCATTTTCTGGCGAATTTCGATGAATTGAAACCAAAAATGCAAGTTTTAATTCAAAAATTCACAAGACAAATGCAAAATCTGATAGCTTGTTTTAAATTTTTACCTGAGAACTTCCGAATGATACTTCTTTCTGGATAATACTTCTTTCTAAATGTTTCTTCTGGATATACTCCCACACGAGACGTGCTCCTTTCCGCCATGTTGCTTGCTAAAAATCGATCGTAAAAAATATCGATTAGGTTCGAGAATCGTAGGAAGTGAAATCCAATACGCGCGCATTTCGCACGAAATGGAATAAAAAATAAAAAACTCTAGCCTAAATCAAATACACAAAATTTATAAGAAATTCTTTAAAAAGAACGAAACTATTCATACACTAGGTGAAAAATTGTCAATACTTTAAATTATTATAATTTCGTCAAAAAGAAATTGCACAACAATTAACTTGATTTTGTTTTAAAGAGTGAAGTCGTCGTTTCAACAATCTTGAGTTTCGTTCAAAGATATTTATTTTTACATCGTGCAGCAAGTGTAAGAGTGAAAATACTTCTCTTCTCGAAAATTATAAAAATTCAAATGTCTCGCTGGAGAAAACAAGTTTTTCCATCGTTAGAAACGTTGTTTCATGACCAAATCAATCATAATCTTAAAGATTGAAATGTTTCCTTTACAATAAACTCTTAAAATTAACAGTACGAGGATACGTGTTAATTTTTAAAAATTTCTAGTCAAATAAAAATAAGAAATGAATGTATAAATTTAATCAGAAATTTGATGAACGAATAAAAGTAATAATGCTCATTATAATCTAGTTATAAATACTTTGTCATTAATCAAGCTTTTATTATCAATGAAATCGATCTTATTTCACACTGTTGGAAACAATTAGAGACGATTGAAAACAATTAATAAAATAGCTCGTCAAATCCTTAATTAGAATAAAAATAAGTGAAAATAGAGTTTTTAATTAGATCGTGAACACGTATGAACTTGTTGGTCTGGAATTAATTGGAGAATCGGCAATCGAGAGGCTTTTAATTAATCATGGTAATGTTACCGATCGATGAATTAATTGAGATCCATTATCTTTGATCCCTGTTTTATCCATTACCATTTTCGTGTATCACATTAAACAATGAAATTTCACGTGACTGCTAAATGAGTATCACCCTCGTTGATTCTCATTGAATAACGTTTGCAAATTTATTCAGTCTAAATTCAGAAAATTAATCGACGACCGTCTCAACAACGTAAAACAATTTAATTTTCTGTTCTCTTTTCCGATTTATCTCGTGTGAACCGAGATGTAACATGTTGTTGATAAATGGTGTTGATAAAATACAGTGAACCATGAATCTCTTTGAAAGGGTGTTTTATAGATTTGTGGATCATTTATTACATTAAATCTTCAGTAAATAATGGATTTAATTTTTTGTAAATGTTATATATTACACACTTCATCAATTCTTAAGTATTATTATAAAGACAGAGTTTTAAGTAAAATTAATTTAAGTTTCTATTGATAATTATTATTATAGAATACTTGAAGATATAGATTTTATATTTTTATCTAATTCTTAAGTATTATTAAATATTGTATGTTATTTCTCCAACATTTATTTTGTAAATTCGTACATTGCTCCATCAAATTCTTCTCTTTAAAATATATGTATTTATTTTTGTACATCAAATACTTCTTTTTAAAACTTTTGTACTTCAGTAATTCGAATAATATTAATTTTTCAAGAATATCGACACCTAAATTTTTATATTCTACTTTTTCGTAGTACTAAATTTTTTTACACTTAAACGTTGATTCTACATTTTAAAAACAATTCTTCTACATAATTGTCAATCAAAGAAAAAAGTTCATCAGCCCAGAATTACAGCTACCCAATTTTATCTTGAATCAAGATCATCGCTCAAAAAATTCAGAGAGAAAGCACAGAAAACCAGATCGCATCGAAAAGTTTGACTTCAATTTTCTGGAATGCTGGCTGCCAAACGAAGGAAAAAATTGACAAGACGAACACGGAGGATGATTCAAGAGGGTAGGATTTTTATCGCCTATCCAAAGAGGGTGTGAAATTCATCGAACGATCACGGAGCTCGGTTTCTCGTTTTCTTGATTCCAGCAACGTCTTCCTGATACTCTTAATGCAATATCACAGATGACGACCAAATTACATTTCTCGTCGCGTTCGTATCAAAATAACAGGTAATATATCGAACATCGTTTGATTCGTTGGAATTCGTCTCGAAAGAAGGACGAATCTGCTGCTATTTGCTATCCGTTCGAATCACGTCGGAATCCGATACGTGTTTAGTCAGCGATTTAAAATAACATTATTCCCCAATTTAAAATAACATTTTTCTAACCAAATAAAGATACATCATTAGGAGACGTTGTAAACGTGATCTGTTTTTCTATGTGCTTCGTGTACTATTGAAAAGAATGGAATTCAGTCAATAGTGTGTTTCTTTATTTTTATTCTTTCTTTTCTTATTTATCATGTGTTTGATAACACAGTTCTGAGAAGATAATTATTATACATTTGTATATTAAATAATTAATTTAAATTAATACACATTAAAAATCTGTATATAATCAAAAAATTAATTTGATAAAAAATCTATATATTATTCAAATTAGACATTTTATATATAATTTTTAGCAATTGTCATATTTTAAGTGAAACATACAAGGCATCTTCCAGACATTTGAAACATTTTTGAAGATAAGTGCATTTATATATATACATATTAATACAGTTACAATGTTTTTGATAGTTATTGCATGTGAGTTTTTTCATTACAACATTAATCTTCCACATTTTTTACTTTCTATTCTTGGACGAAATCTTCAAGAAATGTAATTTGGACGAATTCTTCAAGACAAAAGTCTTTAAATAAATTTGGCACGATTCCTCGTGTTTTATCCGTTTAATTAAATCAGACGAAAGGTTAAATCGTTCATCCTTGAAATTCGAATCATCAGGTTCTTCTCAAATCGATCTCATTAATGTTTATACTATCTTGGTATGCTGAATCCTTTCGGATTAGCTTAGGTGACCTCAGGCGCCAGGAATCCACAAACTAACCTCAAGTTCCGGCGAAGTAATTTCCTGTCGCCATCCCTCTCGCATAATACTCGCAAACAAAGTTCGCCCTTTAAGGATTGTCACCAATTCTTCAAAGAATGTTGAAGTAAAGTTTTAATGTGGGTGAAATTATAGAAGATTAGATCGCGAGAATTTTCGAATTTTGAAACGATACGTCGTGGATGAAAGTTGTAAATCAAAGTTTAATTGAATTTGATAAACGAGAAAATTTTTGGAGAAATTGTCTGTTATACTAAATATATTTTATTTATATACGATGGATTTGAAATACATCTCTCTTAATTTTGGAACTTTAAATTTAATTAAATTTTATTATTATTATTTTTTATCAAATATAAATTACAAAAAAAGGATTAATATAAATTACAAAAAAAGGATTAATTTAAATTTTTGTAGTAGAATACAAATCACTATATGTAGTTCACGATATCGCTCGTGGGTTGAAAATTATAATTTTTAAAAATCCATAGTAAATGGATAATTTAATAATATAATTTACATAGTTTGATAGTTTCTTGACGAAATTCCAAGCTTGTCTTCCAGAAACTTGTGTAATTTCGTTCCGATAACTAACTCAGGGCGTTCATTCTAAGTTAACATCTTACATACACTTTCGTCTAATAGTTTTATTAATCCATAATAAAATAGGACGTTCAAAGTCTATTTTCTATCAAAACGATTTAGTAAAAACGTAGAATACTCTCATGTGGATTATTATGTTCTGTCCAAATTGGCCAAATTTAAGTGTACCTAAAATTTCAAACTCGATTCTTTCGAAGATAAAATGTGGAATGAAAAAATTTTGTCGTTTCTTCTAGACTTATTTTTATACGCAGAGTTACGATTCTACAGGGACATACCGTATAATTCGATGCGAAATTCAAGAAAGTCGAGATTTCCAACCACTTTGATTATTCTTTAATCATCATTACTAATTTCTTAAATTACCTTCCAGCCGAATCTTTTTATTGATCAATTGTTTACTGATTCGACGCTATTACAGAATATCAAATTCATTAATTGGAACTTCTCACGTGTATCACACGATCCCCGAAGGACCTCATTTCCCGAATCTCTCGCTCGTATAAATCATTCCTCATCACGGAGATTACAAACGCAAATTTACATCAATAATTCACATAAATATTCATTTACGAAAATTTACATTAATAACTTCTAAATTAAAATTTCTCAATTCTCTGTCGACTGTTTGTAATCCATTAAGAGCGAACGTTGTACAAACAACATTTTATTTGCAATCGTTGTCAATGAATTTATATCATTAACCCTCAAATAGTATCATTGAATCACAGGCTTGAATAACTATATGTGTAAAATATAAAATATAAAAGTATAATATAAAATTTAAATATTTAATATAAAAATCAACGTTTTGGATATTTTGTAACAATTTGATTTTGTATCTTACATTCTTTATATAACAATGAAACTAAGTGAAATTAAATAGTTTCAAAATTAAGTAATTCAAGCTTAAACTGTTATACTCTAAAATAACTCGATGATAGCTGAAAATTTCCAGTTTTCTCCCCTTATTAGTTCAGATACTGGAGATTCTATAATATTTTCATCTTCGAATGTTGCTGCTAACCTAAGAAATCACTATTTTATTGCAGTAATACAACGCTTATTATATTAAAATATTTGTGAAATAAAAATCCGCAAAATAAACAGTTCTATCTTTTCGCTATTAATATCAACTTTTTTTTATCACCGCGGGATGAATTAAGTATAAAAAATGAGGGACAGATGAGGACTTTTACAAATTTAATTTGCAAAATCAATATCTCTCGTTCGTTTAAAATTATTTCAGATACAAAATACCGGATTGTGTCCATTGAATTTTCGACTTTCCCTAACGGATGTATTAGAGGGTGACATTTCACGTACCCAAGTTACATCGCCGGCAAGATTTCCAAAGAAAAGGAAAGGAGAAGCTGAAAGCGGACGAGCGACGAAGGCGGAGTTCGACGACAATCTTCAACCGAACGAGGAACTGGCGATATTCGGTGGAAATCTCCGACGATTCGAGAACCGTGGCAAATTTTCCTTTTGGAATATCGACGAAAACATGCAGTTACTGGTTCCAGAAAGAAAGACGGTATTTTCCAATTTCCGATTTCAATTGGAAATTTCTGCTTTTCATGTTTTCCATAAAACATTTTCCTCCTTCTACACACGCTTGTCCCACTGAAAATTTACATAGACACGACTTCGATTTGACAGATACGTTTCTTTGACCAAGAAACTTGACATTTTCTGATAATCTTCATTTTTATTAATTGTTATCTCATTTTCAGTTTAACAACTTTACGTCTTGAATTTAAAGGATAGTTAAATTTTTTACATCTCATTCTCACTTTCTAATTTGACACTTTGTTGAAGAAGTTAAAATACGAATGAGTGATTTAGAAAGTAATTGTTTCTATGATTCTTCAGCAACTGAACAACAATTTTCTGTCCATATTTTCTATTATATTTGTAGAAATTTTATTATATTTATAGAATCCACATAAATGTCCGCAATTTATTTATAGAGAGTAAATATTAATAACTACGTTACGTGTGACGACATTCGAGATGAAATTTATAGCATCGTATTTGGCAGTTTGCCTGCATCTCTTTGAACCTACACTGTTAATTAATCTTCATATTCTCGCAGTACTGTACAATATTACATTCATTTAAATATTGAATGTAAACCAAACTTAAAATGAATGATTTAGAATTATTTCTAAGAGCTTGATTAAAGTTCATTGCTACTATTTACTTTATTTATTATTGAGATTCTATATATATATATATATAGAATTTAGGAAAAGAAGTCAGTCATTGATTTCTTAATTTTGATTGATTCGCATTTATTGATAATAATTTAATTTATTGATAATAATATTGCCTTCAAAATGATATAATTTTCTTTAATTAAATTTTTAAGTCGCACTAATCTCTATTAGATTATTAGCAAATAAGTGAAATCAGTAAGAGTAGCACTAGATCGCACCAAAAAATATTAACAAAGCTTAAGGCTTCTGCGATTCTCTTATTTTTAACATGAAGCCCTTTATTTCCTCGTGAACAGTTGACACCTGGATCATTTGTAGAATATTTTACATATTTTTACATTTATACTTAATATTTCATATATTTTTCCATTTATACTTAATATTTCATATATTTTTACATTTATATTTAATATTTCATATATTTTTCCATTTATACTTAATTAATACATTAATGACATCTAGCTTCACAATATTTTCGATACGATTATTGATTAGTAACATTACCTTCGAACGTTGATTGCATCTGAGATTAAAATCTCCCGTTTCAACATTCAGCATCGAGCATTAAATGTCCCCGATCTTCTTTTACTCAAGAAAAACGCAATAACGTTTCAAGAATTCATCTTTCGCCTTACAGATAGAATTCGGTGTACGATTCCAACCGGTTAACGAGAGAAGACCTTCGGACGCAGCAAAGGAAACGGCCCCCAACAGCAGAAAGAAGAAGAAGGAGGGGAAGGAAAATGCAGACGAGCTGAAGAAATTGTATCACTGCCACGTGGCGATGGTGAAACTCGCGTTGGGAAGTTCCGTGTTACTCGATTTTATAATGATATGCTTCGTGAACTAGAAGAAGTTGTTCGTCCTCGCTTCAATGGCCACGCGAATTTTATTAAATCGGATAATTCGTCAATTCGTCCCCTAAGCGGCGTGCCAATGGCTCTCGTATTTTCGCGAAAATTATTCGACGAGAAAGAAGAATTTCTCGGTGCATTTTTCTACGTATGCGAACCCACGTGCACGTTATTGATTAATATTTGCGGAGATACACATCGATTATATTTAAAATATTCGCCAACACGCCTAGAGTATGAAAATGGTAATGCTTGAGAGCAGATCAGATTTATTTAATACAGTAAAACCGCGTCTCTGGAAATTTATTGGCACATTTTTGGAATTGTTCCCAAAAAAGTAAATTTCTTAAATCTTCACTTTCTCGCTTCTTACGTAACAGTTTCTTTCTTTCGGTTTTTTTTTTTTTTAAAGCTTTAGTAAAAGGTCTCCCGAGTCCTCGACTTTCCATTTTACTTTCCATTTTACTTTAATTCTCCCTCAGATTTTTAAAGTGCTTCGTTTTCCTTTAACTTTTAATTCTCTGGTTTCATTTTCCTTGCCAGTCTTTTACTTCTTACTTTCAGCTTTACGGATTTAATTTTCTGCATTTCTTACCTTCGTTCTTTCCAGATTCTTTATAGATGTTTAAAAGAAATTTTCTCACTTTATTATTTGAATGTGTCAACTAAATTTTCTGCATCCATTTTCTAGTTTTGCATTTCGTCCCTCTCTTAGCATCCTCGATCTTTCGTTTTCTACTTCTATTTCTTTGAACTTTCCAGTTCGGAACTTTGAACTGTCCAGTTTGCCCACTTTCCATTTTAATTTTACTAGCTTTCTAATTTTTCCAGTCTTCTATTTTGCTAATTTTATATATTTCCCCCTTACATCTTCCTAAGCTTATCTAATTTTGTATTTTTCAAGTCCCATTTTTCTGGTCTTCCTATTATCATATTTTTATTACTCTAGCTTTTCTTAATTTTCCATTTTATGCTTTCACTTCCTCACGTTACCTCGTTACAACCTCTAGCTTCTTACTTAACTTACCCAGAGTCCTCGAAACACAGAAACTCTCGAACTTCTCCACTTCTGGAAACACAAGAAGTTTCCAACATCTTCAATCTCCGAAATTTCAAAATATTTTCCAAGTTGCCTCACTTCCCTCAATGTTTGTTTGCATCACTCCTAAAAGTTCGCTGAAAGAAAGACACTCCACTAAAAGCGATGTGCCAGACGTTAAATAACATTTCCACATCCAAAGTGTGCAAATGTTTCGCACAAAAATTCGCAATGAAACACGGTTTTATGTATTTTCGACAATTTATTCGAATATTTACATGCAAACGCAGGCGTAAAAAGTCGATACAATTTCACGAACGAACTCCCATATAATTAAACACAAAGAAATATCATTTATTATCACACTCTTCGCGTAATTATCGCGCAGCCCGGCGATAAATTAGCAGAATGATTCTCTCTCGTCTTTCGTGGAAGAAAAATAGGACGTTGTGCAGTGTCACGTATAGATAACACGACTCGTTGTTTTTTGTATACGTATAGTGAAAAGCACAGCTGAACCAGTAACCAAAAAATATATTTTGTGTAAATATGTAGTTTCTTGTAGTTTCTTGAATAAAGATAGAGCGAATGTAAGAAATTATGCTTGTAAAATTCAGTTATGTAATATCTGTTATGTTTGCACAAACAAATGTTAAACATTATGGAAATGGATCTTGAGAAATTAATATCGTGAGTGATGTTTTTGTTGCAAGAAATATTCTTTGACTTAATTTTGTACATTATTCTTCATTGTAATTAAAATTAAATTCAAAGTGTCAGAATTTGAATTAATTGAAACTCAATATTTCAACCAGACCGCGGATTTTTATGCATTTTAAAATTTCCATGAAAACCCAAATAGAAATCCATTTTATTCGTATTGTAATACACAATCTGTTCTTGTTAACGTTAATTAACATGCACGGCAAATGAACATAATGGAAACATTTTGAATCAAAATTAATTGAAATCGATGATCTTTAATTATTCCTGTGACAAAAAATATTCATTGACTCAGTCCTACGTTAACTAATTCATTAAAATTTCAAAAATTAAAATCAACTGAATCAAATAAAGCAATTGTTCTTTTGAAAAAGTTAATTTATCCAAATTATTACATTAAAAAACATACGAATTGATTTCACTTTCATCGTTCTTGCGAAGGAAATGACACAATTCAAAAAATGTAATTTTCAATATATCTTATCACTATAAAAATGTTGCACAGAAATAGTCCTTGACCAATTGTAAAAATCTCATCATCGTTAACAAATGCATATTGAGAAGTGTGTTACATTAAATTATCGTTGTTTCTTTAATTCACAAATTAATATCATTACTTAAATTAATATTAATATTATTAATATTATATATAATAGATAGATTTATTCCATTCTTACTTTATACATAGTTTAAGAATATATATCACATTTTATGTCTCACATTACAATTGCACCATGTGCTTCTTCTTCGTTCACCATGCATTCCCCTGATTTCCTCTTAATGTTCCACTCGTACTCTCTTATATACTGACATAGGTTCGCTTTTACTTTTCCTCTTAGCACCCCTATTCCTTCCTCTCTCTTTCACCTTATTCACCTTATTCCTTTGTTAATCTCCTCATTTCTATGCAAGACCACGCATGTTCCAGATTTTCCGTGCCTGCACTGCACAGCCTACATTTCTCTTCTTTAAGTCCTTTGTCGTCCATTGCTCTTTATCCCTTCATTTTACTTCTTTGTCTTCCTAGTAGCTCTCCTGGGACAAATTCGTTTTTAAATCTTTGTACTCTGGACAGTACCTTGATCTATTAATTTTGCCCCAGTCCTTCTGTGTTATTTGATTCTTCTTGGTTTTCCAACCATCCACCAGCTTCCTCTCCAGGTTCATTCCAGAAATTCACAAAGGCGGCATACAGCTTCCCTTCCTTTTTTCCTCAGTTTGTTGTCTATAAGTGAGTTTAAAGCAAATTGGTGGTCCCTCGTCGCTCTTCTGCTTTTAAACTCACATTGGCTTTTTCCTAATATCCTATTGTTCTCCAGCCATTGCCTTAAACGATTCGTCATCATGAATGTCAGAATTTTGTATCCTACATTTAGTAATGCCACTCTCCTGCAGTTTCGCACATCCTTCTCGTTCCCAGCCTTGTGTATTGGGATTATTCTTGCCAGTGTCCAGTTTTCGGGTATCCTACCTTCCTTCCAGATATCCTCCTTAAAGGTTCCAGATATCTTGTATTCTTTCATGGAACAACCTTGCACTTTCTTCGGGTAATAAACCTTGAATAAACTCAATCTTTATACCGTCCTCTCCTGCCGCTTTATTTCTCTTAATGCCTCTTACTATACTTTTCAGCTCCTCCCAACCTATATGTCTTTGTTTAATTCTTTTATATTTTCGTCATTTTCTCTCTCCCCATTTCCTTCTCCTGCCCAACTTGCGGTTGTGCCTTCTTCTCCTGTTCAATTTCGCCGCTCAACAACCGACAAAAATGCCTCAGCCAGTCTTCTTTCTCTATTTCTGCCCCTCTCACCCTTTTTCCTGGCCTGAATTTTCCAATGTTTCTCCAAAACTCGATTACTGTTCGGCTGCTCTCTACTTCTTTCCATTTCTCTTTTTGCTTTTGCGTCTTCTTTCTGAGGTATAATTCCTTCAATTCCTGTCTCTTGCTGACCAGTTTCAGTCTTCTATCTTCTTCCTTTCTCGAAGGATCTTTACTTCAGTTAGGGTTTTAAACCTTTTCACACTTCTTTTCTTTTATCCTTGCACTCCATTGTCGTACCAAGCTTGCCTCGGTTTTGTCTTCCTAATCCTTATCTTTCCCGCCTTCTCCGGTGCTTCTTTAATTATCCCGTTCAATTTTCCCATTTTTCCTCCGGCTTCAACCCGTTCCATTCCACTTTCCACAGCTCTAATAAATTTCCCTGGAATTCCTGGCTTTTATCTTCCTTCCACATGTATTGGGTCTCCCTCTCTTCCTCTGTTCTATCTTCTCTGCTTTCACCATGGCAAATGGTCAGATTCTGTCCTGGCTACTACTTCCAGGCGATCAATTAAGTTCGCTCCCTCATCCTCCTTGACTATTATACAATCGATCGTCGAGCTCGCTTTCGGTTCTACATACGTTAGTTTACCTTCTTCATCCCCTTTGGCTCTTCCGTTTAGAATAGTCCACTCCATCTCTTGACACATATCCAACAGCCTCCTTTGTTCCCAATTCAATACACTGTTCTCCGAATATTGTACCACTCATCTCCTTCGTATTTGTCTGACCTTCCTTGTTCCTTCCCAATTCTGGCATTCCAGTCCCCTACTATCAGTATCCTATCCCCCTTTATTCCCTCTATTAGCTCTTCTAAGCTACTTCTTATTTTATCCACTCCCACATTATTGTACACCGTTATCAGTGTAACCTGATAACCTGCCCCTAGCTATGAGTTCGTATTCCTCCCCTGGCTTTCACTCTAAGTTCTTCTTGATGTCTAGAAGTTATCTGCCGCTTGTTTTACCTCTCGTTTTGGATCTAATGGCGGCTTTCGCTGTCCACCGAAATCGCTCATCTAGTTTCCGCATCATTTTTTCTCAATCCACGTCTCCTACAACTAAATCGAAGTCCCTAATAAAATCTGTAACTTCTTGAATCCTGCCCATCCCCGCCACATTCCAAACTACCATCTTCCTTTCTGCAAAAGCTTCCTTTCTCTAATTTTTCTCTCTTTTCCTCCTATCTCCAACACACTCTGTCCTATTATTAATTTCATGTACACTCTTTTCACTTTCCTCCTCTTTGCTTCTTCTTTCTTGGCCTGCTCCCATATCGTTTTTTGTGTTTTTTTTTTTTCGCTTCTGGTCAAATCGTCGTCCACGTATATCCTGGAGCCCTTCAGAAGTCTTCTATTACCCTCCTCTTCGCTTTTAATGATTCCATTTGTACCATAGGACGTCATTATTATTACTATAGTGTTGTTTGTATTCTTTTCCAATCTCGTTACTCTTGTCACTTTCTCTCCAGCTTCAAGCTTTACTTTCAGAAATTCCTCCACTTCCTTTTTCAGACTCCTTCCTCCAAACTCCATTCCTCTTATTGTTAGATTTACTCTCCTTCTTGTTCGCTCGTTTCTCTCCAGTATCATGTCTATCGATTATATATATGTATATATATATATATATTAAAAAAAATTTTTAATATTATATATTAAAATATTTAATATTAATAAAATTAACATTAATACTTCTGTACAAAATCAACTTTCTCCCGAGAAACATACTTTTCTGAATTGTGTCATTTTTCTCTAGACTGCGATAATAATATAAACCTCTCGGAAGCAGAACTGATTCAATTTTTCGTATATCTTTTTAATTTAATTATCTAGATGCATAATTAACGTAATTAGAAAAAAAAAGAAAAGAAAAATAATTGATTATATAGATGATGTAAGCGGTACATGTACTTACCAGGAATTTACAAAGAATAATAATCGATTTGCGTGAGCTCTACCAATGTTCCAATGTTCGATCATGCTCTTCATCGTACTACGTATACACGATATGCTTCTCCTCCAAACAATAATTAACGCGCGCGCACACACAGACACACTCTTTTCAATTACAGTCCGATCGCGTAGATCCAAACGATTCCATAATTAATGCGGTCTGAAGCGTGTCAATCAAACGATGTTTCATTGAGCCTCGCCACAGTTCGTCCTCGTTAATTAGCTGAATTAAGTCTTCACATCGAGGGATCAAAACTATTGTACAAAGACAGTTTCTCCACGGTTTTACAACGAGCGTCTCGTTGCAAAACAAACTACCAGTGACTCTCTATTATTGACGTTTCAGTTAACAACAGTCGTCGAATAGGTTCTGTTCTAACACACTGAAGCGCAATTTGGAAAATTGTGTTCCCTCATCTGAGGAGATGAATAGTAGCAGATTTCGCAACGATCGGATCGTTCCCTAATTAATATGTGTGTTGTATGTAGATGTTGAAATTGCTTTTTTAAAAGACTATATTTTTTAAGGACATAATTTTTATGCATTTACGGAAAAATACGCACAATGTATATAGTATGTAGAAATATATAAAATACTGAAAGAAGAGTATTAATCATTCCATTTAGTTGTCCTATTTCTTCAATTACGTCCTTAAAAATGTAAAAATGCACAAAAATCCGTAGTTTAATTACTTTGTGATAGCAATTTTACTGGTATTAATGTCACAATTAATATTATTGATATTATTAATTGATATTACACATTATTTTTGTTATTATAATTGTGACATTATTTTATACGAAAATACTAAGAATTCTTTGGAAGAAAAATTTAATCAATTCAATCAGCCGAATACAAAAATTAATACTGAAAATTGGAATTTCTATTCAAAATTATAGTACACGTACGATTAATCATGGAACGATTCAATCTCTTAAAGCTTAGTAATGAAATAGAAATTATTGCAAGAGTATTTCATTAAATTGGGTCATTAAACGGGACCAACAACAATTAGAGAAATTATTATAATGGCGATAGCTTGAAGAGGGCTCTTATTCTACACCGTGATACATAATTTTTTTTTTTTTTTTAAGTATATTCTACAGATCAACCGTAATTAAATACGCATTTATGGCTTTATTTTACGGTCGATTAGCGATTCTTTTTCCCATTGGTCGAAAATCGACGAAGATTTTCGATTGATAGATAACACATTTAATTCGAGTGTACAGTCGATCGACGTACAGCGATGCGAAAAAAATTTTCAGAACTTCTACATCATAATAACAAAGTATTAAACATAATAGTACGTTTTTATTAAGTATTAAATATGCATATCCATGTACATATATTTCACCTTGATATTTTTATGAAACGAATTACAATCGATACTTATTAATCAATACAATTTTATTATTCAACAATAAAACTCTTTGCGCGTCTAAATGCTTTCTATTTCTTCGCTTGTAGCAAAGTTCAAGGTTGCGAAAAAATTTTCACGCATTTCTATTCGCGACTTTGCGACTCTGACCGAAATTTCGTCCCTTCCTCCCATTTTCACAATATATATTCCGCATCTTTTAAATTTATACTCGCCATGGCGTCTCTTTGCAGATGAATTTCATGAGACTGGCGAGAAAATGCCGAAGCCTCTGCGACAACGAGGATTATTGATTATTTATACACTTACTGTACGTACAAATGAATGGACGCGCTGGATTACACTGTTTTAAATTTTCTGGGGAAAGAAATTTACCCTGCAAGCTCTTGTTACGAAACGTGTCTAGTATCCATCTGTCTCATCCATTTAAAAACTACAGTTTCGATGTGGAAGAAAGTTCCTTCGAATGTTCAACAAGCTGCACGCCTCACCGCACCGTTTTCATTTCATATCGTTTTACCATTTTGACAATTTTCAAATTTAAATGTGTTCATCGCGTGCGAAACGATGGAAACAATCTTCTACGACACGTTCGTCGACGTTGTTGAAAAATTGTATGAATACGTACAGGCTGCCACGACATTAAATGTCCAAACTTTCGGAGCGTGTTTATGAACTCATTCTGTAACAAACCTGATTTCAATGCCAATTAATTTCAAATCAAATTGACTGAGGGATTAAATTGTAACTGCAACGATGTAACGCTTGCTTTGCTGCAAGAAGCCAACACTTTCGAATCGATGATACAGAATTTATATCATCTATGTTACATTATAGATGATAATAGATAAATGATAAAATGGGCGATAACTAATAAACAAATGAAAGAAAAAATTTTTTTCGATCCTTTTCCCACGAACAGATCGCTGAACGAATTTTGTTTCTTTCCCTGCACGCTCCCGATGTTTTTATATTTAAATTCGGACCGTGTCTATGGTAAATCCTCCCGTATTCGAATAGAATGAATACCATCTCTTGCATTGATAAATAAAAATTCGAGATAATTTCCTGATAAATCGGTACAACGAATGATAAAGATATCATTTTCACAGACTGAAGTAGAAAATGAAATGTTGGCGAACGTTGAAAGACTGATTTAGAAAAGAATCTCGAAGCGCAGAAGAGAATATAACTCTTCATCGGTGTTAAGGAATTGATAAAATTCTTCCAATGGAAAATTAAATGGAATTTAATCAGAATTTCTCACGAAATTGGTAAAATTTATGGATTTTACGGAGAGATTATGTGCATCAGATGCTCGGTGTAATTTCTCATCAGAAGCAGCAAACTGATCCACAAAGGAACAATATTTTTCACCATAGTGTCCTCTATCTATAATTCACAATATTCTAAAATTTTTAAAAATCGATTTGTAATATCACGGTCAATTATTGATTGGATTAACTTAATCCTCTGTAATGGACAAAAGAAAAATGTTATTGATTAATTAATTAATGGTTATTCTATTACTCTTATGATTTATAAATGAATCGTTTGGTATACTGATATATAGAACAGTGAGTCAATACACGTGTAAAATAATATTCACAAAACGTGAATATTCATCTTCCAAGAGTCAACTTGATTAAACTTAATCAAACGAATAAACAATTAATTGAAACGCTTTGTATTATTAATTCGAATATGGGAGGCTCTATTATACAATCAATTAATCAACGATTCAATGACACAAAAATAGAATACAGACGACGACTTTTATACTACTTTTGCAAACATTTGTCCACGTTGCGACGAAGAAATTATGAAAATTTGTGGCAATTAAATCTCCCGAACAAGCACACGATAATTAATTAATGTCTAATTCGTTCGAGGCTTTCGTATCGTAGACTTATTGCACTTGAAACAACAAGCTAATAATAAATTTTTCAAAGAAAATTTCTCCGAAAGTCTCGACTCACTAATTTTATCGCGAAATACGCTGAAGAGCATAATTGAATCATTAACCGCAGATTTGTATCAATTTTTTCTTACTACTGTTATATTAAATTATATAAGGAATAAACATTTTATACAGAAACATTTCGATTAATTAATATAGCAATTTTTAATTAATCCACTAAAGACTGGTCCATTAAAGCAACATTATAAATACGTCAATTTCTTTCAATTTTGTGGAGTTGCAAAATTCAGGTAGAAAGTAGAAATGTTAAGAGAAATTTTTTTATTTAAATTTGTATAAAAATTTGCAAATGAAATGTCGCGACGTTCAATAAAATTTAATATATTTCAATATTTAATTTTTCTCTCCTCCTTCAAACAAAGCATCATGAATGTTAAAATAAATTTATCGATGATATCAATGATAATTTGATAAAATTAAATTACAATAAAATTACCGATTTCGTTGGAAATTGAATAAAAATTAAATTACAATAAAATTATTGATTTCCTTGGAATAATTAGATTAAAATCAAATTACAATAAAATTACTGACTTTTATATTTCGAGAAATTCAAATTGCCACTTTGTTACAATTACTCGCGAATGTCGATTATGTTCGTCATCTCTTAACTTCAGCTGGAATTAATTATTATTTAAAATGTCTCTGTCATCTTAATGTCAACGACGATGAAGAATAATTTCACACGAAATCCACAATTAATCACAGGTCATGCAATTATGCTCTTCGCCGTTTATTTTCGAGACAAATGTCACGCGTTTCACACGACAAATTCACTCGTAGCAATTCTCTCTCAACATCTACGCACAACTTGAGCAATGCTTTACACTTTAGTGAAAAGAAAAGAAAAAAAAAGAAAAAACAAATCGCGAGATTCGACACACGAGTTTCCGTGAACGACAGACTCTGAGTACTTTATACTTGGCATCTCGCTCGTTCAGAAATTATTCGAGAACAAGGGAAAACACTTTGTCTTCTAGATTTCTTCTTCAAGCCTGTTCTGCCTGTTCTTTCGTTAATTTTACCTGTGAAAGAGCTGCCTCGACGTGGGCCGGGCACGACGAAATAATCAAGTCCATCTGAAAAGCAAACAGAACGCAAACGGCCGAGTATTAAAAGGAACGGGAGTTTCTCGAGTGATCGAGCTTCGAAAGATCTTCGCCGGGTCGTTGGTAAGGTTCGTGAATGTCGAAGGATCGTGGATTCTTTCGGACAGAGACGTAGGATCAAGTGAACGTTGACATGAATTTCATTTCTGAGGCCTCGAACGATCCTTGGAATTTTTTTGCTAAAATTGATATGATTCACGGGATAAATTTTCTTTCTCGAGCTTTTGGAATCGAGTCCTTGGAATCTTTTCTCAGGCTGAAGCGAAATTTATAGAGGCGATCCAAGGATCGTGATACAGATAATATATAATAATATATTATCCTTGAATCTCGAATCTCGAACGATCCTTGGAATTTTTCACGAAATCAATTTCTTTTTCCTTTTTTCATTCATTTGTAAATCTCGAATTTTTCATACTTGATTGATAAAATTTACAAAGTCGAGATTTCTTTCAAATAAATTCGATGGAAGTGAAAATGGAGGCTGGTTCAAATCTCGTTTTTGAAATCTTGGACGATGCTGGGAATTTTTGAAGATGACAAAATTTGCGTTTACTTTGGGGATTCTTTTCCAATGGAGGACTGTTATTTTCGTTAAAGTTCGATGAAAATTTTATTTCTGAGACTTTGCACGATACTCCGGATTTTTGATTTTATTGAATTAAGTAATACGTGTGGATATTGGATTCTTTTAATGGGAAAATTAATTTTTCAAGTGCCTAAGTGATCGTTGGAATGTTTTCGTGACCTATGAAAGTAAGAGGATAAGCAATTAATTATAGAATAGAATTTTTCGCACGTAGCACAGAATTTTTTTACACGTTTGCGTGAAAATAGTGAAACAAACGTTTGTTCAAATTTTTAGTTAAACATCGCACAAGGATTAAATCATGAAACAACAAAGAGACACTGATTCTTTTAAAATCAATTCTATGTTCAGGTTATTAGGTAGTATAGTTGCAGAGATCACACGAGACTGTGTTAGTTTTACGATAAAAGGATAAACTGTATAACACGAGATAAACTGAAATTCGAGCTTTGCAATGGCTGGAGACAAGCGCATACGCTGCAGTAAAAATTCAAGAGACGAGTTAAAGAAAATGAAAGAGCAAAGAGCGTGGAATACGATGGAATTGTCGATGAGTTAGAGTGGCGTCGCGTCGGTATGTTGGAAGTTATTTCATGAAACCATAAATTATCTTTCAGTGGATAAACTTCATTCCAAACTCACATATTATGTACATATATGTACATACATTCAGAATAAAATTTTATATAGGTGTTAAAGGTTGTGGTAAATATAATGTATAAATAAATTTCATAGTAAATATAATGTATAAATAAATTTCATAGTAAATAAAATGTATAAATTTTATCATGAAAATATAATAAAATAGATATATAAATATATAAATATAATAAAATAAATATATAAATATATAAATATATAAATATAATAAAATAGATATATAAATATATAAATATAATAAAATAAATATATAAATATATAAATATAATAAAATAAATATATAAATATATAAATATAATAAAATAATTATATAAATATATAAATATAATAAAATAAATATATAAACATAATAAATATATAAATTTTATTATGAAACCATAAATTACGCATCTTCTACTAGAAAATGTCTCTAAATTTGCAAACGAAACACTCAACCGGGTACGATAATTTTACGTATAATAAACTTTTTATAATACGAATACTGAATTTTATTAAATTTATCTGATATAATAAATTTCATAGAAAAGTAAGTGAAATTTTGTAACAATATCCAATTATAAAATATAATATAATCGATTTATCCTATATTTAATTAATAAAAAGAAAATTTATATCGATATTCGATTCTGCAAAATTTATCGCATGATATAAAGCCTACCACACTCACGAATCCGTCGATCGCGTTTATACAGAGCAAATGACAGAAAATACTGGAAAATATATGTACCTACGTATGTCTGTCGCAGTAACGCCGTAACTTTGAAATCTAATTTTATTTCGGAAATTGAACTTTGAACTATTTCTCCAAGCTGGCATTCGTAACAGAAAATTCGGATTATTAAAGTTCTCCTGTCAGAGAACCGACGACTATAGTTCCCCCCACCTCGTTTCAATCCACTGTCTTCGATTCTCGTTCAATAATGAGCAAAAAGCAGACAAAAGCCGCAAAGAACATCGTCGAGATAGTCGAAAGCCTTTTCTTTTTTTCTTTTTGCAAATTTTGCTCCTTAATTTACGGTGAAGAACACAACTGAACCGTGACAACTACAGTCATCAGAATAAAATGAACATCCGTTTTGTTATAAATTACCATCCGTTACAAAAAATGGTGAAGAAGTACAAAAGATACTCTTTTATACATTATGTAGTTCCTGAATTCTATTAGATATGGATTTTATTAAATTCTTAACGATATGAAGTTTTATATAATTCTCGAAAATTTTCTTGTGCGATTGATTGAACGTGGATCTGATTTGTCTTCTTGTGATCGACAATTTTTAAAGTTCCTAGTTTATATATATAATATCTTTATATCGAATTCTTTAAAATAATAAAACACTATATATATATTATATATTAAATAATATTATTTTATAATATTAAAAACATTATAAAATAATATTATAAGATAAAATATAATATAAATTATACTATAAATATAATATAAAATAATATTATAAAAATATAATATAATTTATAATTTAAAAATAATATTATATTATATATTATATATATTATATACTAGTATTATATATTATTATATTAGAGTAATAGTATATAATACTAGTTCTTTATTATACTAATATACTAATTATAATATTATACTAATATAATTAGTATATATTAATAGTTTATTTTATTCTGATATGATATACACAGAACGACTTTTATTAACTGTCAAGTAATATCATGGGACAGTAATTTCTGTCATATTAGAAGAATTTCATTTCATTTTATTCTACACGCTCAAAAATTTAATTTAATTTTATTCTGCTCAAAAATGTAATTTCATTTTATTTGGCATGTTAAATAAAATTTTATTTTATTTAGCATACTCCCGAATAAAATTAAAACTACATAAAACATTCCAAAATTAAGAAATATAACAAATACAAATTTATTGTATAAAAATATTGTGATTATTGGTTCTATCGTGTTCTTCACTCTGCATGATGATTTACGATAAGTCGGGCAAAGCTGGCGAGAACGAAATTCACACTTCAAAAAAGAAACAATAAAAAAGAAGAAAAGAAAAAAAAAAGTTGACTGAACTGTTCAGTTTACCTAGAGGAAATCGTGTTTCTAGCCAGAGTGTTCATCGTGTTTATGCGACATTTCGGACGCTCGTGGACAACGATGTTTGCCAAAAGGTTTATCACGGATGGACTACGAGATGGTTGTCAGCTGAGTTTTGATACTTCGACTCCCGGAACGAGTTTCGTGTCCACCTGAATCACGTGTTTAAACCACGAATTACACCGAGTGAAAAAAAATTTCTTTCTAGGCAAGTCATTAGAATCGAATTACGTCGAGTTTAAATTTTTGTTAAATCTGTAATTTCTTTATTTTCTTAAGCCTCAAGACAATTGAAGTATTTGTTTCTTAAAGGCATTGTTATTTAAAACTAAAAAAAAGGGAAACTGTTAGGTCCAGTTCTTCTGAAATTGAGCATTTCTTTAATTTTTATTAGTTTTAGAAAAAAAGAATACTCTTCGAGGGAAATCGAAATACAAATCAATTGTATTCAGTTTTCTCTTCTACTTCCTATTGAAAAAAAGAGCAAAATGGCAAAAATAACCAGTCTTCCTGGAAGGAGGAAAAAGATCTAGAATTCTTTTTAATTTTTTGTCAAAGTAAGTCACATCACTTGTCAGTTTCGTTAGAAGAAAGTTAAATTAAAAAAATAATCAGGATAAAATGAAAAAATGGTATTTAGCTTTTCTTTTGCTCTTTATTAAAACAGAGTAAGACGCGAGTAAAAAAGGGGACAATTTTGCAGGTATAATTTTACCGTGGGGGAAAAAGAAAATCTACTTTTATTTTTTACTATTTCTTTACTGATCATCTGAAAAAGACACTGTTCCGTTTCATTAGCAAAATGAATATTGTCGAAGGGAAACGTAAAGATTTAATTCTCAAGTTTTCCTAGTATTTCGTAAGAAAGAAATAAATAAAAAGACCGGAAATCTTCGACGATGAAAACTGACTCTAATCTTCCTATCTGTATTCCTATTCCGATTAAAAGGGAACATTAGCTGAGAATTTACAGCTTCGTAATTTTTTATTAAAAGAATGTATTACTTGTTAATTCTACCTTTCAGAAGTGAAAATGTTTCCTTTATTCTTCACGGGAGAAGAAATTCGTTTTCATACGAAAGATAAAAGCTTCAATGAAAACCTGCACTATCACCTTTGTAATATAAAATCACAACTTATAATGTCACAATAATTATTATAATATAACAATTATATTACAATATTTTTACAAACACAATTACTTATTATACATTATATTATGATAATATAAAATTATATAATTCTAATGCAATATGCATGCAAATTATCTCCATAATCTTAAGGAAAGATTGTTCTCTTTTTTTTTTTTTTTACAAAAATACTTATATTTTACCGTAAAATGATAATAATAATAATTTTATGATCTCTGATCATTTTCATGGTTCTGCAAACCGTCTGAATAAATTAGTTCAGCGAATAATAAATAATCAAAATCGGAAAATATCAAATTGGTTTCCGAACCGATTCACTTTTCCATGTCCTTGTGATTCACCGAATTTGTAAAAGCACGAGCCGAGTGTAAAAATTTCCTTTATGCACAAGCACTGGAAAGCTCGTACATTGGATTTCACAAGCTTCTCGAAAGCGGCATGAAAGCACGATGCGTAACCAAGCTACCCCAAAGTGAACAAAATATGATTGAATTACTAATTTTTTCGCGAGGGAAGTTCGGCAACCGGAAAACTGAAAAAAAAAAGTTTCGAAACTCTGCAGAAACGCGACGGCTCGCGAAAGTGTTCGAGTAACATGTTTACTTTTATATTTACAACATTATGTATCGTGTTTAATTGGACTGCAATAAAAAGAATTTTTAAAAAAATTAGCGCTCGAGCATTTACTTATAGAAAGTTTCATGTCCATAGTAAAATATTATTAACTAAAGCTTTATGTTTTACTATATAAGTTGATGTTAGCATGATATACTGTACGTGTTGTGTGAAATTTTCGAAAATTCAATTAAATCGAATCGCAATAAAAGAAGAAAAAAAAAAGTTACACCTGTACAAACATATATACTTCATTTATTACAAAATTCATTGTCAAGAATCAAATTGAAAAGTGAGAAGAAGCAAAAAGTTAGCATTAAATTTGAAACCCTTTGATTCTGCCGAGACACGTAAAAAGTCGAAGATTCGAATTCCAGCGTGCAACATTCCCTACCAAAGCCATTTACGTTTCTCCAAATATTAATTTCCTCGAAATATTCTTTAATTCTCAGATTGACCAGACTTCCCTCGTCCCAATTGACAGAGTGTGGCTCGTTTCATCCCGGATAATATATAATATATAATTCGTAATCGGGGTGTCGATCAAGCGAAACACTTTGACAGAGATGTACAGACCATTCGCGGAACAGAGAATCAACTGGCTGGTGAAACCTGCTTTCGTGCCCCCAGAAATCACGCGGATCAATGCGTGGGCAGTTATAGCGTTTTTTTTTTTCGAAAGGTCCCTACCGCCACAGGGTACGAAACATATTAATCCACAACAATCTGAAATTCAACAGTGACACGTTTTTAAATTTTAAATAGTGATTCGTCTGGCAAACCTGTCGCCTCCGCTGCCGCAGTCAGGGTAGGTAGCAGAAGAGAGAAGAGAAGAAAAGAACACCGGAATGCGCGTGGGTCGCGTAGATTTTCGTCGGGCCTGCATACCTGATACTGGTCGTCCTGGTCTGGCTGAGGCTCGGATGCCTTTTCACAGGTGCTCTGTAACCCCTTCTCGGGCAGCATATCCACCAGCCGCCGCAGGCCGCTGACAGGAAACTCTCCCTAAAGTGCTTCGACATGAATCCGTAAACGATCGGATTTATGCAACTGAAACGAATTCAAAACAAAATTCAACTATTTTCAATTTCGTCCGGAAAACACCAATGACTGACGTAGTTTGGCAAGGTTTGGAACTGAAAATTCTGTAGAAAATGGTAATTGTAAAATTCAAAGAGGAACATATTGGGAAATAAAAAGGAAACAGATTAGTGTGTCATTGTTTCGTACTGTCTGGAAATTGTAGTCAAGTTGTAACGTAGATAAGTTGAATAGTCATTTAGTTAGGGATATATGTTTGGTTACTATATATAGCATTACAATTTTGTTTTTATTGTTATTTTTATTATTAGTTTCACATTCAATTGTTTAATCAATTAAATGTTGATTTTATTAATTTTTTTATTAACTTTCTATCATCATCTATAATTTTATTAACTTTCAAGTGCCATCATTTGACATTGGGAATCACAATAATCTAAACTCTTTGACTCTTTAAACGTATAATGATGGATACATTGTTAATTTGTTGTAATAGTGAGTAATTTTAGTGAGTAAAGGATGAAATTACTGAATTGTGAAATTCTATCATACTAATCCCTATCACGCAGAATAAAGAATAAAAAAAGCAAAGTTCCTACTCTCAAAATTTCACCAACTAGTCTAAATTGCTGAAATGATCTGTAATTCGATAATACAATTTGAGTAACAATTTTGCAATAATAATAACAGATTTAAAATAAATAAACAGATGCGAGAAAGCAATTCACGTTTCTCTATTTATAAATGTGTGTTTTGAAACAAATGTACTCTGCAATAAAAAGTAATTAAAGCGAATTAAAGCTTCTCTTTTACTAATCCATTGAGAGCCAAGTCACTGTTTACTATAATATTACAAATATTTTTGCAAATACTTTAAATTTCGTGGAATTGTAAAATCTGGCAAAAATAGTGACAAACGAGAGTAACGAGAACAAAACAATTCGTTAAAATGATTGAAAATAAAACGATCAAGGTTAAAGCGACGTTTCTATAACAAATAACCGTCTTAAACTGAACAAATGAATACCAATAAGAGAAACAATCGGAGGTGCAAAGAGAAACGAACGTTTCCACGTTGAAAGAGGAAAGAATAATCGCGTGCCCTCGAATAATTTGCAGAATATAAATTTTTCGCTGCTGATTCCTCGTCGTTCAAACAATGAAAAAAACGCGTAACAAATGATAATTGTCCCCTGGTATTAATGTCGACAGGATTGGCAATTCCCTCGCGGCACGGTTTATTACGCAAGCGAGTTATTATTATGTTAACGAAGGGTTACTACGACTCGAGGACAACGAATCGCGTCTGGGTTGTGACCATTAACATCTAAAATGGGAAAATCGATAACATCTCGAAAGTGCTTCCCTTGCGGAGGGGCGACGATTCCATAGAAATTAATTAAACACATTTTTTGCAGTTACACCGCAGAGAACACTCGTAGCAATTTTTTTTTGGAAAAACATGTGGAATTAAATTACAGAGACAGAATGAACGAATAGCATTTCGGAAAGCAATTATTGACGAATAATTTCTTTAATTTACGATACTGTTTTGTACTCTGTGAATATATTAATTATGATACATTTGACTGTATTACTGTGTCATTATAAATTTGTATTCATTATGGTGTATAATATAATATATAAATATATTATATTTATCATTGTGTTACATTCATTTAATATTGTGTTGTTAGAGACTAATTTTAACGTAATTAAAAGGTATAAAATTTGTTTCAAATCGGTATAAATATGCGTTATTATTGTTATCATAATGCACTTGATTGAGTTATTGTAAATTTGCACATTACTATAATACATTAATATTATATTATTTGTTATTATTATCCAACGTAATATAATATAATATAATATTATTATTAAATAATAAATATAATATAATATTATAGATAATAATAATATTAATATTATTATCTAATTACAATATAATATAATATTATAATATATTATAATATAATATTACAGATAATAATAATATTAATATTATTATTATCTAATTAACATAGCATAATATAACAATCTAATATAATATAATTTATATTGAAGAACACAAAATTTTTAAACTACTACAAATGTCATATTATTGTAAACAAGTTTTACTTGGTACGATCGTGAATAAAGAGTCTAAACTATAAGTAGTCTGCACTCATCCGACTACCCTTTGACTACTCTTTCAATGTTAAACAAACTCTGTCATGTTCAAAGCTAATCACACGCTCGTCTGACGACGTAAACAATTTCTACGTTTCGCGAACGACGAACGAAGGGCAAACGCGTTTCAATCAGCCGCGAAACTCTCTCCTGCCGATCTATCTTCCTCTTTTCACCCGCGATCGTTAATTCCAGCAACGAAATTAAACAAAACAGGTAAGGAGTTTAAGTTAGCCGAGTCGCGTTAAGTTGTTTTCTCTAGGAGTTTAATGAATGCAAGAGTGACGCACCGGCGTCTGATAAAGTGGACGGTCTATCAACATACCTGTTAAAGTATGCCATCAGCTGAAACGCTGTGTTGAGGTGTTTGTACGTGCCGACTTTTACTCGTGGTAAGTAGCCATAGGATGTGAGCATGTTGTCCACGAGGATTGGACCCCAGCAAATAACAAACAGCACGACCACCGCAACCAACATCTTCACCACCTGTCAAACAACGTTATTATATTATTCAACAAAGTTTGAAAGACTTCTTTTCTTTATTTAATTCATTGACAGTGTACGCTAAATGTACATATGCTGAGAAGTTTCGCACACTTTCTGTCTGTTGAAGAAGAACCAATTATTATTTTTGTACGCGTTTTTGTTAGAGTAACACGAATGCTGTGATTATTAAGATAAGTGTGTTGTAGTTAAGAATATTGCGATTTATTTATATTTATTTACAGGTCATTATGTTTATTCTAGGTAAAATTCAATTCTTTATATTGAATAAATGGCATCAAATGTTTTCTTTTTCTTATATAAATTTTGTTTTCTTTTTTTAATATAAATTTTCAAAATAAAGAATAGATAAGAAGTAATTTACTAGGAAATAATTAAGTAACTATGAAAGTATCTAAACTAATGTGCTAGAAAGTACAAATTAAGTACTAAGTTACTTCTGAATATAATATTTATTCTTTATTTGTCAAACATCTTTATTGTCATCGTTTCTTCGTGGAATTCAAAAGATAAGGCAACCCTCTGGGATGGAAGCAGTAAATTTCTAATTACAAGTATATTGTGCAATTATAAGAATATTACAATAATATTTTTAAATACTATCGTATGTAAATAGACTGCAGATTTTATGCAGATTCATGTATTTGAGAATATATATAACAAAAAAGGAAACCTCGATGAAAAATTGTTCTGTAAAATTTTATATTTGCCCATATCATTCAATTTTGCATGTGTCAAGTAAAAATTCGCAATCTAATCGTGAATAAAATATTTATTTATTTAAGGAAATCATTATTTGCTCTGAAATTCTAACATGCTCTATCTTAAATGATAGTGCAGTTCAAATATGTGTAATATCATATTTTACTTTATACTTCAAATCTCATCATATGTATTTATAATTTAGATAATTATTAAAGAAACAATTATTTTCCAATAATTTAAATAATTATCCAAAAAACATATTGAAAATTATTTTCCAACTCGCTCGTTTTGAATTTTTCTTTTTTACTACATCGTCAAATGGTTGTCTCTCGAAGTACCAAGTAAAATATAAATTTATTATCAGAGGGACATCGAAGTGAAATGTACGTGTGAATTATTTACTTCAAGCACAGTCCAGTAATCCAAATCTACGTGCATTTACAAGTTTCAAATATTCAAAGAAAATCGAGGATTTTGCACACTTTATGGACATTTATTTATTCATCGCCGATCTATTGAAATAAATTCTGAAAGTTCAGATGGATTAATATTAAAATATACAAATGAATGTAATAAAATGTAAATGCGTTCTTCTTGTTATTATAATCGTACTCAAAATACAAGCTTTGTGATAACTGTACAGAGATTTTCGTGAATCGCTTATTAAATTTACTTGTAACATTCTTTTGAACAAATGCAAGAAACATTATCAATATTTTAGAAACGATCTAATTTTAATTGGACAAATTAATCAAGATGTTCGGAATTCTTTTTTCTTTGCTTTAAATATTTGATAAATACACGTAGATTTTTACGATTGATTGTGCATGCATCGTAAAAAATCATTCAGTAAATCTATAAAACTTCTATGAAATATTTGGAATGTCTATTTTGAATATTCCGATAATTTATATGATAATAAAGATATTCATTGAGAGCAAACGTTTCATTTTGTCTTCTCCGATTAATTTATATTTTTATTTATTTTCCACTAGGGAAACTGTGAAAGAAAATTTCAAAAATTTGATTAACAACTCCTCTCATCAAAGTAAAACGTATGTTTTTTTATAATTGTACGAAATTTCAAGAAATTACATTTATAATATTGATCCCTTTACGACGTCACAACCCGGTTTGTGACATTTCGTTTGAAGCACGAATGATCTACGAATATAACTCGGTACGATGTTTTACTACCTCTCAAACATTACCAAGATTCGAAGTAGATTAGATGTTACAGACTCGTAACTGTCGTAACTTCCGTCTCGAGTAGCAATTCAATTAGGTGAGTCTCGTAATTGAATTGCTCAGATCGACCGCATAAATTCAAAAATACAAAGAGATTTTCGCAGTTATTACTTTTACAGAATCTACAAGTTCTTTGGTACATTTGCAAACGAAATTGCAAGAATATCTATAGAATATTTATTCTGGCCTAATGTTATTATTGTCATTATCAAAATATTCGTATCCAATACAATGTATTTTAAACAAAAGCATCATTTTTTTAATTAATATCTACTGTCCTATTAATGTAGTTGCTTCACTTGATAAAATATTCGTAATTGCACGTTTACTCGAAATAAACTCGATAAGATAGACGTTTGTCTTCTGAGGAACAAATTACATCGTAATCTCTTCATCGGAACGTTTCACAATCAAACTGTTAAAGATCAAAGATCGTAGAATCACGAGAGAAATAACTTCTATTTCCTTCTCCGCTAGTGTTTCATCGAGTTACGATTTGAAACGAGTTCGTCTTTTCAAAAAAGTTACAAGTTCGTCCTACTTTCGGGTCTTTTTAGTCAGCACTTAAGACAATCGGAGATTGGCACTTAGCTGAATCCAATCCTTCTACTTTCGTCGGGATAATTAATTCAATCGACCGCGACTATTTTAAACGTATAACAATCCAGCGATATAAATAAATTACTTCTCTTCTTATGATGATCAATTATCTGATCTCTTTTGCAAAAAGAAAAAGAAGTGAATTATTAGGATCATCCGGAATTTTCAATGATTGATATATTTTTGTGGTGAAAGGTACGAATGAAACTTAATTACAAGTTTGCACAGACACAAACATGCATCAATTAATAATTAATATATTATTAAATAATAAATAGCAATATGTTATCGTTATATTAATAATATTTTAATTATTTAATATTACGCTGTTAGTCTTTCTTATCGGAGAATTATTGTGCATATATAATAAGCGGGCAACTAATTAAAAAATTTCATTTGGATTCATAAAAATGTTACGCAAAGATGCAAAAATGCATACGATGTTCAAGAGTAAACTATTCGAAATACAATAGTTAATAATATATATTTAATATGCGAAACGTTCTGCTTGGATGTTATTTTTTAAAGTAAATTTTTAAGAAAATATAAAATAATGTGCAATGTCAGTAATTATAATAATATAAAATAATATAAAAATAATTATGATAATATAAAATATAAAATACAGAGCCTTTTAATCAAATTTGTTATGAAATTGAGACTTTTAGAATTTTACCAACAATAAAAGCATGTAAGAAGTAATTGAAAATTGAAAATGATATCAATTCAGTAGTTAAAAGTTATAAAAATAATGTTAACGAACTGTAGGTTAGAAAATTCTTTCACAATTTTGGAATTTTGCAATTTCACTTCAAATAATCATCACGTGACCGACACAATTTATTTGTAGAATTTTTGCACGTTCATTTATAGAATTTCAATATTAAAGAACGATGCTTAATTTAATGGTCAGGATATTTCCTCAATAAATAATATTAAATAAATATGAAATGACATCAATTAATTTGTCTATATCGATAACAGGGTATCCTCTTGATATTTCGATCCAAGAAAGAAATTGTTGCATTTAGAGAAAGAAGAGGCGAGAAGCGGGGCCATTATCACAAACGTGACGCTTCTTTTATTCCGATTTGGCACGAGAACGCTACTTAAAATGCACAATAATTACCATTTGAATCCGGGCAGTTTGCGTAAGCAAATTATCTGTTACGAAACGCGAACGGAGAGAGTATCGGATCTTTTCCAAGTTCCAAACTGCACAAACTTCTATTTGAAAGAGCAGCGAAAATACTTCTGATTCGATTTAACGATATCACAGATCTCTCAGATTGGCTCTCGAAACTTTCTGTTTTATCATTCCTTGTTTCCGGCCATAGTCAAGCGTACTCGCGAATGTGTTTTCAGTTTTACCTGCAATTTGCCTCGCAGTGGAGCTTGAATTTGGCGGTAAACGTTCATAGTTATTGAGATCTTGTAATAAATTCACTATCACTTCACGACTTCTGTTCAACTGCTAACTATCAACTCATTTCAACATCGCGTGTGTTTTAGCTGAAATCTTAATCTCTCCAGCAAATTTTACAAATTTATTCACGCGTTACGTTGATTAGCTGCTAGCACTTAACCGACTGTGTTTCACGCGAATGTTACGTTCTCGATGGTTGAGGCTATGACTGAGGATATTCAGACTTGTTCGACCTTGTCTTCGGCCTCGAGGCTATGGATGCTATTTACGTTTTCGTTTCCGTACCTATTTGGGAAAGCTTCGGTAATAACGTTCAACGTACTACCCATATACATCCACGCCGAATATTCCAAGAACACCGAATTCCAAGAATCCATTTTCTCTGGTTTACGATACATAAAATAACGTAAGAAAATGTAGAGTTTCCTTTTTTTTTTTCGTCCCAAATAAAACTTGTTTATTGATTTCTTTCGTTCATTTATGTTTCTCTGAATTATATTTCTCTGTATTTTCTATAATTATATTATATTATTATAGTGATATACTATATTATATAATGTAATTGTATTTTCTGTATCATATTGTGTCAATATTTTCTATAACTAGTTTTTCTATAATTGTATATTATTTTCTATAATTTTTATTCAATTAGTAATTGTATATTATTTTCTACCATTTTTATAATAAATGTAATTTATTTTTATAATAAATGTAATACATATAACAATACAATATAGCATAGTATAAGTATATAAATAACATACTATCATTATACTATGTTACTTTAGACATTTTATAAATTTTTGTACACTGCACAATTTGCATACTGAATAACTTTGTCATTTTCTAATATTTCTTGACTTTGAAAGAAATGAAAATCACGTTTATATATCTTGAAAAAATGGAATCATTCATTTCATTTTCAATTATTATTCATGTAAACGAAAATTCTACTATTTTGATCGTATCACGCTGATAGTTTCAAAAGATAGCTTCGGACTTTTTTAGTTTTTCTTATTTGAAGTTCCGAAAGTATAAAATGTTGTCTCGAAACAATTTATCAGAATCCTGGACAGGAAATGAACTCGCGGGTGGATCGTGTAATACAAAAGAGCCTAGAGGCGTGGAAGAAATAGAGACATCCGAGTTCAATTTTTTTGTTTGCGCATATCGTACGTGAAATGTTCTATTTTTGAACTCTACAAACAGGAATTGAGGTTAAAAAAAAATCCTCCTTTATTAGTTTTATCTGTTCTATCTCTTCATTCTATTCTACAAGTCGTTAATTTTTGTATACTGGATCAAAATGAGTACACAGTTACTTGCTGGAAATTGACTATTAATATATGACTATTAATAGTATACTATATAATATTATAATATTCTATATTATAGTATTCTATATTATTAAACTATTATAGTATTCTATATTATTAAACTATTATAGTATAGTATTATAGTATTCTATATTATAGTATTATAGTATTATAGTATTATAGTATTATAGTATAATAGTATAGTATTATAGTATTCTATATTATTAGACTATTATAGTATTCTATATTATTATCTCCATATTTTACAATTCTTTATCTTCCCCTATTCAATTTTCTATTCTCCAATCTTATAAAACTTGTATAGTAATAATTTCCATGATTTCAAACATAATTGTTGAGAAACTCATAAGATGATCCAATATATTAATTTAGAGATATATACTGTGCGTAGCACATTAGCTGAAAGGCTATTTTAATTCTAACATTAACTAATAATGACGAATAACAATAACTAATATCAAATAATGAATAGCAATAAATACTGTGTTGTGTTAGGTTAGATTATAAATATACATCAAAAGCCATTCTAATCTCTAATGTAAAGAATATAAATTTAAGGAATCAACAAAAATTGTCATTTAACATTCGACGAATTCCCATTTACATTCTCAAATAAATCAACCAAATTTTTCAGTCAAATGCAGACTATTTGAAAACTATTTGAAAACGTTTCTGCAAATTCAGCACTCAGTTACAGATTCTACAAACCTGTCTTATCGTTCGAGATTCCTCTTCAGTCTGATCATCTTGTCTCTGAACGCGACGATTATTTCGTATGCTCTGTCTCTGGGTCATTGGTATGGATTCTGTATCGATGTTGGTCGGATTCAGCCTGCAACATTCAAAAAGAGAGAGAAAAAGAAAATGGAATTTTGAGTGTGGTGGAATAAAAGTACAAATAGTTTTTATTCTACTATAAAACTTCCTTCTTCGAATAGCTTTACTAAAAGAATCCTTTTTACTAAAAAGTTGCCCAAAAGGTTTATTAAAACGTTTACTTAAACATTGTTATTTATTTACAAATGCAATGTTCTCCAAGACGGCTACTATCTGATGGATTTGTTCCTTTACGAAATCAAACATCACAGGCACAATAAATGACAAATAATAGTCTATTATAATTAATTTTACTTCATGTTTCCGACAGTGCAATTTCTTCGGAGACAAATAATGCAACGAGTACGAGGGAGAAGAAAAAATGGAAAAATAAGTTTCTTTTCAAATTCTTTATCATATTTATTATCATGTCTCCTCATTCAAGAACTAAAAAGGAACAAAATCTTTCGAAATAAGCAGATGAAGCTTCCATTAAAATCGAAGGTTATAGAGAAAACTGACTTAAAAAAATTGGATATTTTTCTTTTTCTTTCAATTATCTACGGAAATTAGAAAGTAAGAACAAAATTACTGGAATTTACTTATTTTTTCAAAGGGAAGCTTCTTTCTTAAAAAAAAAAAAATAAATAAATAAATAAAACCATGAAAAATACGAGAAATACCTAAATATCTTATCAAGAAATAATAATTCGCATCTTAAACTTACTTATTTCTGAAATTATATACAAACTATATACAAATATATACAAATTATATACAATTATATACAAATTATATACAATTATATACAAATGGTAAATGTTGTTGTATTAATAATAGCGTGCGGATTTCATTAATTTAAACGAAACTTCAGTTATACAGTTTTCCACAGTGTTTTAAATTTTTTTTATAATAATTGGTAACTATCATGTTTTAGATGGAAGTATTCAATATTGTTGATTTCAACAACTGGCATCATTGGATATTCAAAGGCATGAAAATTTATGTTTACAATTTCAGATTGTTTGATTTGATTCGACTTTATTGCTGATTTCTGTTAGAGTGAATACGAAGTAAATCACTTAAGTTTTTGTAACGTAATGGATATAAATTACTCCATGATACCACGTTAACAAGAGCTAACAGTTGAGAGACTGATAAATTGTATTAGGGCAGTTACTGAGGAAGAGGAATTGGAAGAAATTGCAATGTGAAAGAGGAAAGAATACAATATTGAGACACTATTTCCTATTTTCTTTTTACAAAATTAAGTCACAAAGTATAATAAATGGTAAATAGTAATATAGGTTCTATTTATTATACAGATGAAATGTGAAAGCTAATTGATTGAAATCTTCAAATTTAAGTTCATGTAAGAAAATCACACGAATATTTTGATTATAGATCAAAATTTCATATTTTTATCATGAATTTCTCCTTCTTTCAACTAATTATAATAACGACAAAAGAGGACTTAATGGTACTACACAAAATCAAACTTTAATAAAACTATATTTCACATATACCAATATAACGTTTCGTCAGACTTTATTGCTATTCATTAAAATAATAGCGAAATAATTTTGTGATACGTTGCAATTAATTGAAATAAATTGATACAGATATAATTAATATAAATATTAATACATTACGGATTATAAATTATAATAAATCGCTTCGTAATTTACCAACTGCAATTTAACGCAATCTAAAATCCGCGGTCTTGCATCAAAAGAGAGATTAACAATTAACGAAATTTCTCGGAATACAGTTCTGCAAACTGAAGGATTAAAACATTAAATTTTACTACGTGTTTCCGTAATCGTTCTTCTCGAAAAAGAAAAGAAAGAAAGATTTAAAGAAGATAAATTTCTCGAAAAGAGATAGCAATAAAGCTCGTATAATGAAACGGTGGACTCTCCAACAGAGAGTAAAATTATATTTTAATGTACAGGTTTCCACGTGGAGGTCTTCCACGTGGTTTTAATGAACGTAACAAACAACGATGGCCCAAAACGTTTCAATCGATAAGATAATCCGAATTGCGGATTACGCTCGACAGAATCCACTAACAATTAAACTTTTCGATAGGTGAAATGCTGGCAATCCCTGGCAACGAAACACTGGGATTATTTCACACAAAACTTTCTGGAAAAAAAAATATTGCCGTGAAAACTGTTTCCAACTTCAATCGCGGTTGGCCAATTTATTGGATTTGGTCGTAAAGCTATTTCAACTAAAATGAAAATGTACTTCAACATCCTCTGGATCATTATATCCAGTCTCGTCTTTTTCTCTCTTTATTTATGAAAGTTTTAATAAAATTTGGTGGTAATCAAAACTATTTTACTACGTTCAACTTTAAAATATCTTTTTGATACTTTGAATAAACGAAATTTTATTATATATCGCGATAAACGTGAATTTTCACGACGAGATTCAGAATTTCAAAATGAAAATTATGTAAGTTATGATGATTTGACACGTGTAACAATAAGATTTTGTATTATACAAATACTATATATATATATATATAAAAGCTATAACCAAGTTATAAAACGAAGTTTTACTTTCCAAATATATTTTCCAAGGCGTAATATTTGTCAACTTCAATTTAAAAAGTAGATACACTACTTTGCATTTGCCTTCGAGAAAATATCTGACAACTGTAACTGACGTGTATACTAGTTTGCTTTTATACATTCAACTGGTAAATCGATGCGTCCATGAACCACGTAAGACAACAATTTCAACTCTCAGATATTATTAATAATTATACACAGTCTAAATTTCAAATGTTTAAAACAGAGAAAAAAAGATTTTGGACATTTCATAAGTTTTAAATAATTTTTTAATCAGAATTAAATTATTTCTTTAGTATTGTATATTACAAAATGTAATTATATAGTTGCAGAAGTAATTATAATTTTTTCCTTAGATTTAATTATGTTTTCAGTGGAAATTAATACAAATATAAGAGACATTTTTTTCAAAATCTGTAGAACTAATATGTATGTATGTATGAGTTAATGCCTATAAAATGTCTTAAATCCTTATTTTCTCTTAAACTGAATTTTGAAATTTATAATATAGTTAATATTAATATTTATGTAAAATTAATATAATTTTGAAATATAGTCAATGTAAAGTCAAACTGAAAAGAGTATTAAATAAAAATAATGATAAATATTAAACGATATTGCAAAAGAGAAAATGAAATAGAGAAAATTGAATAATCAGACAGAAACAGAATCAATAAATTTCATGGGAAATTACAATTTTCATTCACACTCGCGCATGTATTTCTGTCTGAGCTTGAATTCTCAGGCTCACAGCAAAGTTAACGTTTTAGTAGAATATAGAATAGAATATAGAATTGCAATAGAATTAATACTTGCATCTCTCTCAGATTGAACTTTCAGATTTATAACTGAAATTGATCATTTTTATTCGCACTTTCAGGCTGAGTCTTCAGGTTTTATTAATAAACAAGTTCATAATAGAAATAATAATAAACGAGTTTCTATGACGGATATATGCAAACGTTGTCATGTGATCGATAATTAATACGTCCGACTTTTCAATTGGGAAAAAAACAGGAATATCAAAGACTTTGTTTATTAATGATACGCGCGGTTAATTGTGCAAACATTTCAATATGCAGAGCTCTACATATTTATCCAATTTTTACGATTATTCTGACGATTATACAACGCTCCAACGAATTATACTTAAGCTGTTCTGCGCTGTAACGTAAGCTTTAATGTAATTCTAACTCTTTTATACGTAATGATGTAATTACGTATAAAAGTCTCAATAATGAATGAAAAATACGATAGAAAGCGAGGCGATCTGGATATGTTTTTAACATGTAATGAAGAGAGAATAAGCAAGAGGAAATTAAACAAATTCCAAAGCAAATATTATACTAGTTGACAAAACCCGTGATTCTGCAGAGAAATTACTTGCGTTATTTTTAAAAAAGTTTGGTTATTGCTTCGAATTGGATTTCACTTATGCATTGCGAAAAATGTAATAATAAATGTGTCATCATCGGCAACGGGTTTCATTATCAACGAATATTTCCCCGATATTCTGATCCGCCATCATCGCTGAAACACGTCCATCAAAACGATATTGTCGAAAATTACATTCCGCAGAGAACTTGGAGGAACTTTCTTTTATTAAAATCGAGCAGATTTTCCTTTTTTTTTCTTTTATCAAATAAAATAAATGTACTATGAATTTTTTAATATGCAAAAATAGAGACTAGAGAATTAATTCTTTGAATATATTATACATAAATAATAACAGTATAACAAATAAACGATAAATAAATATTAATAATAAACTAACCAAGAGTTACGGTATATTGAATAAACATACCTATATCAAAGGGTACATATTGTTCGTTTAAAATATATGTAATATGTAAATAATTGTCCAAAGCACTTATTACAATATTTAATAAATGTTATTATTTGGGTTTAACCATAAAAATATAAAAATGCATAAAAAAATCTGCAGTCCAATGAAAAATTTCCAAGTTTCTATTTTTAACCTTCATAGTGCATATTTTTCTTTTTGGAACGCCGCAAATTTGCAGTGTCCGTTTAAAGGTTGACTTCTAATTTCTTACCAGAATATCTCCTTGGAAAGAGGATGATAATGGAAAACTTACGTTCGCCGAGATGTCATCTGATATCGACGTTTCATAACTCGCCAAATCTCCCAGCAAATGGCGGTATAACAATACGCCATCACGGTCAAGGGCAGCACCAGCACCAAGACCAGCATGTAAACCTCGTGGGCGCGCCATAAGAGTCCAGATTCTGAATCGCGCACGCACCAGTAAGCAATTACCCTCATTCCAACCTCTTTGTGCGTCTGAAAAAGAATTTCACATGCAGTTTTACTCTAAAACTCTAAAGCTTTTTTTTTATTAAAATTAGACTACATCGCTGGACGAGTTTTTAATTTTAATAGAGAGATAATCATGTAGAAAGTTAATATTTGCATTTATTACTTATTATTAGAATTATTATCATTATATTCTTTGAACATTTATATTTATTATTTATTACTATTGTTATTATTATTAAGTAATCCGTAGTTATTGTTAATTTCATTTTAATAAAATATCCTTTTTTTTATGAACATTTATTATTTATTACTATTGTTATTATTATTAAGTAGTTATTGTTAATTTCATTTTAATAAAATATTCTTTTTTTTTATGAATCACGTGTCCATAATTAAATAATTAATATTGCCAGTCGACTTTACAGAGCAAAATGTTCGTTTGTATGTTGTAAACTAAATTAATCGAACGATATCAGTTAATTAAATACGTAACTATGTAAATAACATTGTTCTCTGTAAATAGCTGTAATAATTGCAATGTAACATTACAATTATATAATGTATTATACACTGACAATAATTTTTCAACAATGAGTTTCAATAAAATAATTTTGCGGTATTTGTTTACCAAACAGAGATTCGACTTATTGAGATGAAACAGAAATAATGTAAATAAATCAGAAAGAACGAAGTGTAGCAACTTTTTAATAGAAAACGTGCGTCGAAGTGAGAAAATACATCGAACTCCCTTTCTAGCGAGAAATATTTTATTTAAAGGAAACAATCGTTCAGACTCGGTCCGAAAATCACAAACGGATGACATACATTTTCGCGAAAAGACATTTATTAAACTATTCGAAATACGTTGAGAAGCGACGATAGAATCATCCACGATCATAGCATCCCCCTTTTTTTATAGCCACACTCGCACCATTTGCTTTACGAGACAGATGCAAACCACGCGTTGTCCCATGTTTCATTAATTCTATAGCCCTTTTGTTCTTCTAACAGCTTTTTCATACGGAAACCAAAAAAAAAAAAGCTTCATTACGAAACTTTTCATCGCGGATTTTCTGGTACAGCATTAGAATTATCCGACTGTCGAAACGACCAATTCGTAGCATTTGCAACGATGCATTTTCGCAAAATGGACAAATGGATTTTGTTTCCTTTCTGTGAGTTTTATATTTCTTTTTTTTTTTTTTCGAGACATATAAAAAAATTTGTCGACTTTTTAAATTGTTTCCTTCAATTATTCCATTAATCTGATCATTTTAAAATCTTACGGTTTTGATTGCCTCTTTTATTTCATTTTTAAAATCTTATAATTTTAATTGCTCGCCAGGTTGATACTTTTAAAATTTTTATAATTTTTCATAAGGTGTGCCTTGCTATTTAACTGTAATTAATAAATAATGAAGTTTACAATTTTCATTATTTGTAGGAATTTTCTCTACATTAAACATATATTTATAGTAAATTTATAATAAATTTCTTCTTCTCGAATATAGTTATAATTGTGCCAATATCAAACTTTAAAAAAAATAATGTTTCATAACTTGACGTCAAAGGAATCCGTGAATTGCATCACCTCGGGCAACGATCATGCTATATTCGACATATCTGCACTAATCAGCAATTTTAGTAAATAAAGCATCGAAAATTGGAATTGTAAAAAAAATTGCTTTCTAGAACCTTTTTTTTTTTTGAGGTGGAAAAGGATTGGTAATAAATTAACTAATGATTTTGTGAAAAGATCAAATTTTCGAGCTCCTCGATTTTCCGCGGGTTATGAAGACTTTAATCGAGGCGCGAAATTTTGAAAGACAAAGAAACAAACTCAACATTGACTTGACTTATATTATTCTCTGCTTCAGCAATCTCAATCCTCAAATAGTATCACGGGGTCATGGATTATATGAATTATAATAAATTTCTCACGTTTCAAAACACATTTAAATTGTTTCGTTTTATTTAGTAGCTTTTTTCCGGTAGAAATTAATAATAAAATTCAATCAAACAAATCAAAATTGGAACATGAATTTTTATGGCATCGTATATGCAATGATACCAACTGAGGTTAAAATCTCCTAAAATGTCCCGAATTAAACGAATGTTTTGCAGTTTGAATGATATTGGGGAAAAAGAAAGAGAAAATATTGAAATTTGGTAGAAGTTAGGGGAATGAAAGTGTAACACTTGCCTGCGTGAAAATCATGGGAATACCAAGGAGGAATGACACCACCCAAGTTGTAATTACTATTTTGCGAGCCTGACTTATCGTGCACGTGTACTGCGCCCGCATTGGATGAACTATAGCGTAATACCTGAAACAAAAACAAAATTTTCATTAATTTGGCAATGTTCAACAATTAGTGCAATGTAAAACAATCGTAATGGCTTCAGTTTCGTGAATTCACGCTAACGAAATAAAAATTATCCGCATTTTAATGTACCTAAATTTTTGACTGGTTACTGAGATAAACAATATAAAAATAAAGATAAAAATAATTCGATTACTGAGACGAAAAGTAATATTATAATTTATAATAATATAATATATATAATATAATATAATATATAATATATAATATATTATAATATAATTTATAATAATATAATATAATATATTATATATTTATAATAAATTCGTATTTTCGGCTTTAGTAATCTTAAAAACCAAAGAATCTCATTCTCAATCGAATATTTTGCAGCATTATATTATTATATTATTACACTTCAACCAAATCTATGAAAATATCCTCTTCGATGAATTCATCTTATTTACATGGCAGTCTAACATGATTTGTATTAAATTTTTCAATTCCAGTGAGATATGTATATCCCAGAAAAGATATATATTAAATTTTATTTGAAATTGAAATAAATATAAAATCTTACTATATTATTGCAACGTTGGTCAAGAACATTTTCAAAAAAAACATTTTCACTAAAGTATGTATTTCAATCATACAATATTTGTTTGTTATATCTTCTTTCAGTCCCAGACAAACACACGTGTCTGAGATAAATTTTAAAACGAATTTTCCTTTAATTTGTGTGTAGAATACTTCAGTGAAAATTCTAATGTTTGACGTCTTTAATAGCATTCTTAATAAACAATTTCCGCGTAAAAATACATATAATACAATCTTGTTTTATATCTTTTCATGTCTATAATTTTTGACATCTAACATTTTCGCAGTGAAAACTCTATTTTGCAGTATTTGCTTTGAACAATTGATAAAACAATGATCCGCAAGCGGATTTTCTTTTCAAAGCGTCTTTGAAACAGAAAGTCGAAATGAAAGTCCACAATTGAAAGTAAAAGAGAGAAATAGAACCGAAAGTGTTACATAGAGAAATGAAATACTAATTGCGACGAAGAGAAGCGCTTTTCACGAGGCAAAGGACAATAATTCTCGTTCGAACGATATTCGATACACGCTACGATTTTTAATACCGTGGCTTTTTTTTAAACGAGAGAACAAGAGACGACACGAGAGAAACGATTACGCATAATAAGGGCAGACTATAAAGCAGGGAAACGATGCGAGAAATCATGATGAACGCTTTGTTTTATGGTTACGGTTATTTCTCTCCGACACTCTTTTACCGTCGCTTCGTTTTTTCCCGGTGTCCTTATTTCCCTTGCCTCGACGCCTGCACAATTAAGCGAAGAGGATCGTAAAGATCGATTAATCGGCTCGACATTTCCAAATCTTCAATCGATCTGCTTGTCGCTAATTAAACCTAAGAACGAAAAAAATAATAACCATCCCAGAAATTTGAATGAAAAGAAACTGAAAAGTATCTATGATCGCTTTTTTTTTAAAGAAAATTTTTTGAAAAGACCGCACGATGAGCAAAATCGAACATTTCGATTACAAATAATGATTGCAAATGACAAAAAGTGTTTTCCATTGTCAGCAGCCATTATCGACGAATTCTATTTCCAACAGTCGCTTTGAACGATTTGATAATAGTTATCGACGAGATGAATTTATTTCAGTTACTCGTAACTGGATTGCAGATTTTCATGGCTTTACAAAAAGTTTGGAAGTGCAAAAATGCACAGAATGTAAAAAAAAATATATATATATCGTCTGTGCGATAATTCATAGAGAAAACAATTTTCTGTTTAGCTCCACTTTTCTAAATTCCACTTACAAAAATATGAATTTGTAAATTAAAAAAAAAAAAACTCGCATTTGTAACAGTTATCGGTGAGGAAAATTTTGTCTTCTCCTCAATTATGGTTATTGGCAATGAAAACATTTTTCGGGCATTTATATTCGTTGTTTATAATCAAAAGCTTTTTAAAAGAGATAATTCTACGATTCTTTTTTCATTCTGGTTATAATAATTATGGTCCCTGGGCTAAACGATGAATTAACATTAAAACAGTTGATTTTTAATAGGCATCAAAATATTCTACGTATAAATGATGACAATAAAAAAAAAAGAATTATAAAAGATTCTATTTCTGTCTCAACGAAAGTGAATATTAATTTTGATAAAAATACCCGTATCTTTCGAGCAATTTTAATGAAATTACATATAATGCACGTAACATGACAAAATTTATAAAATGTGTTATAAAAGGACAGTGTTTTAAAATAATATTTTATATAAAACAACTTTCTATGGAGGCTCTATTTTTTATTTCATCGTGTTCTAAAAAATATGAATCTCCATGAAAATTCACAGTCCAATAATTACGAACGAGGGAAATTTCAATTGTCATTTCAATTGTCCCATAACAATTATCGATAAGAGAAATTCTATTTTCGGTTGTCATCAACGAGGGAAGTTTATTTCGGTTGTTCGTAATGGTCCAGTGACGTCAATATTCAATATTTAAATAATAAAAACTGTTAAATTGCATGTGTGTATTTTGCAACACAACTATTAACAAATACAGACTCTTTATTGCACTGTATATTTTGTGTTTTATATTTGTATATATATTATATACTACTATATATATTGTGTTTGTATAATTGTATATATACTATTATATATATTGTGTTTGTATAATTGTATTTACTTGTACATTTATTTTTTATACTATATAATATATAACATATAATAATATATATATTCTTTATAATATATTATTTATATATTTCTTAATTGTACATATTTATACAATTATTAGTTTAAAAACAAATACAATACTCATTCTAAAAGCTATCGAGTGTATGTGAAAATATTCTGAACATGTTGAAAAACATCGTGATTCGAAGGATCAAAGGTCGTATCAAGCTCAATTCGGTCGTAATTACTACCCCACTGCTATGACTGAATTTTTTCAACATCGAAAAAAACATCGTATTGACCAAATGATATAAAAATCTAAGAAAATTTTAAAAGAAACTAAAAATGAGTGGTGTTTATTTGTGAAAAAAAGTAACAGATTGATCGACCATTGGGCAAAAATCAGAGAAACTGAAAAATACAGCTCTCCTCCCCGAAATATAGGGATTTTCTCATGGAACGATCGTTTCTTTCACAGCAGCGGCGGATTAATCAAATTTTCATTTCAACCGAGTTTCAATGGGGGAACGATTGTTTAAAACTCGTTTAAAAATCGAACGCGACGTTCGTTTCCACATCGATGTTGCGTGCTGAAAAGAAACACGCGTAGCAACCAGTGGAAAGAAAAAAAACAAATATTGGAGACGAAATCGGCTTGGCCATGCAGCGTTGACAAAATTTAAAAGTTTACAGATGGCACGGATGATTCAGACCGGAGATTAGTATCTCCGCGTTTGTTTTTCAATACAGATTCTAAAAAGAGAATTTAGTGGTTGAAATATTCAATTCTGATTACCAGTATTGGAGAAATATGACAATACATAATAAAATATTATGTATTTAACAGTACATAAAAGTATTACAATGCACAGAAAATATATTATATAATATACATGAAATATTGCATAACATACATGTAATATTACATAAAAAATATTAAGAAATTTAACACGTTCTTTAACGTTTCATTTACAGACGTGTGTGAATGATATTTTCTTCTTTCATTTTAATCCTGCGTCATTTATTTCTAAGCGAATTTTTTAATTATATTTTATTGTCGCAACAGTATTCTTCACTATATTATAAATGAATTAGAAGGCCCATTTGTTAATTTAAAAGGTCCATCTAGAGATGTTTAAAATAGATTTGCAGTTAATTAAAACAGATGTGAGATACCAATTGTTGAAAGAGCAGAATTGAGTTAGATTATTAAAATAAATACCAAAATTAAAGTAGAACTCCATTTATCTCAGTTCATAACACGGACAAATCATTTATACGTATAACTGGAATTCATAATACCTACTAACCTACGTGTATCAGAGTGAAATAAATATTCGTTGAAATAAACTGTTATTCATTGTAAAACAAATTGAGAAGCAGGGAATATGTTTTTTGAACAGTAAAGCATAATAAATCTACTCTCGTGTCTGATCATAGAAAAACCTTTGCTACTTCACACTGTATAAGATTCCTATTCTCTTGTCACTTGACTGATCTCATGTAAACAATGAAGCAATATAATTAAATAAAATGTTTTTATAACATTCATATTTCATATTTCCGAGAATATGATGTTCTCATATATAGAACGAGACGTAAATAATAGTACAACTGCACTGAAGATGACTCAACATGAAAAACTAAAGAGGTAATTTAGTATGAAGTTATTTCGCCTCGTTTTTTTTGAGAAAATTGAGTTCAGAAAATTACAAAACATTTGCGTGAACATACTAAAGAACAGTTGTTAAAAGTGTCGCGTAATTGGATAAAATTGTATAGTAATTTGATGAATTAAAAAGCGGAATTACGTATGCAGCAGCGAGGGTGACATTTGCGACACTGAATGAAAAAAATTAATACTTCGCTGTTGTGTCGCCTCAATTATATCATTCTCAACGGACAGAACGGAATGATTCTCAACGAAGAACAGCCAAGTTGCATTAGTTAGTCAGATATCTCATGAATTTTCAAGCTCGATTTTCTCGATAACGAGACGGCGGATAAAAAAAATTTTATACCAAATTTTTTGTTTATTTTTTCATACAGAATTGTCTCTATTTTTGCTTCACTATTTACAGCCCATATTCTGTGCATGAATTTTCAAAAAGTATAAACATTACAAAAATATTGTGGAACATTATATTTTATACATGTAACATTGTAAGAATATTTCAGAAATATTCACATTCTCGAGGACACGTACGCCAAGACCTCAATAAAAAATTACTTCACGTACCGATTATTATAGAAAGCGCTGCAGTACGTTTAACATACTATTTTCCATATTGTACCCATTCCGTGCAATTTCGTAAAAATTACTTTTAAATAAAAATTCACAGTCTAATGGATCAGCGCAATAGATTGGATAATCCCGTTACTCTTCGCACAAATCGTGTAAAAACCAGAGAAAAATTAAGTCGCAGCTGTTCCATATTCAATTCTACTTTTTCTAATTCGTTCAACGACGAATGATTCTCTCTCTCTCTCTCTCTCTCTCTCTCTCTCTCTCTCTCTTTTTCCGGTGAAGCTCGATAAAAGTTTAATAAGACGCACGAACAGTTTCTTCTTCTTCTTCTTCTTCTTCTTCTTTTTTCCCCCTTTTTCGCGGCAAGGAAAACGGAAAAACAAAACGAGAATCTCTATAATCCGATCTAAAATGAAAGAGGGGAATCCGCTAACTGTCGTGGAAGAGTTCGAAAGAAAAGGGCATAGCGAATTCCCTGGGAATTTCCAATTGCTGACATTCTCCTGAGCGGGACAGCAAGCGGGGAGAAAAGTACGGGAAAGAATGAGAATTTCAAAATGACTTTCCTGTTGATTGGGTAGGCGATACGTGCACGCAGTGGCCTCCGTTAATATTCGAGGGGACGCCGGATATTTGAATTGTTGTAATTTTGTAAAAAGAAATCGCGAACAACAACGAAACGCTCGCTATAGTTTGTACTATCCAAACGTATCGTTTGTTTTTGAGCGCTGAAGGAGATACGCGATTTTTGTCACAGTGTATATAGAAACGATATTGACATATTTGTCATGTCTTATCGTAGATATATATATATACATATTTGTCTACGATTTTATCTTGCAATTTTTAACGACGCTAGATCGTAGATTTTCATGCATTTTATACATTTGTATAAACATAAACGATATAAAAGTAAATATAAATAATAACTGAATATAAAATATTCGAAATATATAAATAGTAAATATATTTTGAAATTCAGTTATATGAAATATAAATTTGTAATAATAAATATATAAGTTCAGTTATATAAGTAATAGCTGAATATAAACTATTCGAAATATTTATGGTAACATTAATATTTGTGGTAAAACAATTTTCAATCGCAGTCTCAAATCAATATGAATTTGCAGAGAAACACACGGTTATTATCTTAGAGAAAGGAAATTCGCTGGATAGGATCACTGATTTTTGGCAATTATCGATTATCGATTGCCAAGACTGCAAATTTTTCTATCTGTGTCTCCATAAATATAATACTTGGCTCGTGAAACAATTTTCAACTGAAGTTTTAATTTTTCGATTTTCAACCGAAAGTTTAAATTACGCCCCCGAAAATATAAATCGGCATTAAAATCAGTATTGATGTTTAACAGTATTTTTCCGCCCGAAGGACCGATCGAAGCGACAAATTTACACAAGTTTAATCCATAGTTAATTTAAATTCCCAGACGAAGCATTTAAATGATATCATTTTAATAAAAATTCGAGTTTGCCAGGATCAAACTTGTCTTGATATTTTAAACGGATTGATCAATTCCATAAATTAAAACACCGACGTTTATACAAGCATTATTGTTTGAAACTAATTTTATAATATCAAAAGTATCGAAAAGTGCTTATAAAATTTCCGATTTAAGTTTCTAGTTGGCTGAGATAATTCATTTGCAACGAAAGAGATTGAACAATGATATCGAAAATTTCATTTATAAAATGATACGTTTATTATTATTTTAAAAAAATTTTGAATTATTATGGCTTTATTCGATTATTATATATCTTGTTATTAATTGACTGAACTTAGTGACGAATTAATCAAGAAATGTTAGTTCATTAAAATTGTTTTACTTTTTGTATCAGAACTAATTAATTGTGACTTACTATCATTTATGTCATCTTTTTCAGAAAAAAATGAACTAAATAATTTATTTCTCGATAACTTTAGAACATTAATTTTGAGTATGTTTTGAATATGAAGCAAAAAAAAGAACTAGGGAAAAAAAAGAACTAGGAAAAATGTGACTAACTTTTTCGTTGAAAATCAAAATATTGATCCTGCATCGGAATGTGCACGTAGCGAAATAAAATTAAGGTTAATCGAAATGAATTTAATTAGCTCGACTCTAAAAAATCGTTCGTACTCGTTTCATCTTTGCTTCCTTTCGAAATAAATTAAATTTGAAAAAGAAAAAAAAAAAAAGGGAAGAAGACGAACGTCGCGGAAATAATTTCCAATAAGGTGATACACCTACGCAGTTTACTTTATAATCCAAGGATGCTTTATCACTCTCGCGCCTTTTCCCGCTCGTCAAACTTCTTCCGTTTATTTTCATTGCAATCATTATCGATCATCGTCCATCTCGGATCTATCAAACGTTAATTGCGAGCACAGCTCCGTTTGCAAAATTTAATAAAGGAAAGATAATGTGGCGTCTCAGTTTCAAGTTTCCTCTTAAAATCTGATTGGTCACCTAAATTACTCTAGATCTAAAAACTCTGAATTTATCTAGGTGAGCTAATAAGATTACGCGTGTTAAAAGATAGAAGTAGAAGCAGAAAAATAGAAGATGTACAAACGCAATAGATGATACATTAATCTACTAAGAAATAATTTGAAAAGTATTTATAAAATAATTACTACAACTAGTAATTATAAATTAAATAAATTTTAAATTAAATTAAATTTTAAATTAAATTATTTTAAATTAAGTTTCAAATTAAATTAAATTAAATAAATTTTTAATTAGTACAACTAGTAAATACTACAACCACTAAATAATATATGTAAAATAATTATTACAACTAGTAAATAAATAACATCCAATTCTACGTTCAATTCCACTATTACTATGAATAAATACACATAAATAAATATAATACTGCAGGATAGACTGTATCAAGTAAAAATTATATTACTAGATAATAATTTTATTGTATATTATTATATTATTGAGTAAATTATATCAAAAGAAATATGTACTATATTATTAATTTTCATCCTGAATTTTGCATCTTTCTCTGTATTTGTAGTTAGTAAAGGAAAAATACGACACCATACTTTTATTGCAAATATGAAACTCACGATGGGGCCAAGCTTAAAATTAAATTCTAGCAAATTTCTCGATTAAATTATGTTAAATTTACATCTAACATGGCAATATTATTTAATATCATAGTGTAACAAAATTGCTATAATATCTTGATACTTCCATACATCTTGGGAATAAATCGATAAATTTTATTAGAATTTTAATAAAATCATAAATATTGCAATCGTCAACTTCCCAATTCTCTGCCACTTTATTGAAGAAATTATTACTCTGTCGGTCTAAGGTTGAAATTAATATCCTTCGGATATCGAAAGGGCATCGCTCGCCACATTTCGATTTCATCTTTGCACGTAACACGATTTAAAAAAAAAGGCACAGGGCGATATAGGATTAAAATACGACGAAGCCAGGAGAGGTAATAACGTCAGGTTTACCTTTCGATCGACATTGCGGTTAACGTGACGACCGAGCAAATAGCCGAAACGCTCTGCATATAGTGCACCGACTTGCATAGAAACAGGCCCATCGTCCACGTGTAGGAGAACAGCTTGGCCACCTGAAACAAGTCCGTCCATGTCTTGTCAGATTCGATTGTTCCAACATCGTTCGGAAATACGTGTACAAAGGTAGAGAAAATATTCGCATACTCGATGAAATATTATCGACATTTGCAAAACAATCCTGGTTGGTTGGTTGGTTGGCCTCGTCTCGATGTTCCTCTTTTCCAAAGGGGAAACAAGAACAATTTAAAGTGAAAATTTGAAGTCAAAATCGCTGAAAAACTTCTCTCGCGACCAGATTTGCCACGACCTTGGAGATCCAAAGAATTGGTAAATAATTATAAGCAATATCTAAATAATATCTACATTAATAAATATAAAATTATACTATTATTAGTAAATTAAATTTCACCTGAAATTATTAAAATTTGTGTAAAATTATTCTTATCATAATAAAATTTATTAACTACAAACTTTATAATATAAGTTCAATCGCTATTGCTGGCACTTTAATTTATCATTATTAATTTCAATTCCCCTATTTAATTTTCATTAAATTATATAGAATTTTTTACTAACTTCTAATTTTAATAAATTATATATAAAATGTTAATTTAATTTATAATTCAACCAGAATTATATTTTATCTATTATATATTGTTTATATTATTAATATTATTAATACGTTTAAAATCAAAATTTTATATGCAAATCTCTAATTTACATCTAATCCAAAGAATTTATTGAACCTTGTTAAAGTTGAATGATAAAAATTCAAGAAATCTTGGCATTTTAGTGGATCATAAAGTAATAATAATAATTAGACGTATTATATTATATATAATATATAAAAGTAACATATAATATATATTTATATAACATAAAAGTAACATATAATATATATTTATATAATATATAATAATATATAATATATATTATATTATTATTATATATAATAATTATTAGACGTAAGTAGTAATAATAATTAAACGATTTTATATTTTGAAACTTGTCAAATTCAATCAATGTTTCATTACAAAAAAAAAAAAAAGGAAGAAAAATAGATTGTAGTAGTAAAACTACGAGTGATCATCGAATTCGTGCGTGAGAATTCACTTCAATTCTCTTCGAGTATATTTACAAAACAGTCGACTCTCGCGCTGAAAAAAGAAAGAAAAACGTGACAATTGTCCTGATTTTTTATTTCGACCGAATTCGGAAAATTTCGGAAGATAGGTTCCGAAAACAATACCAGCGCGGACAAAAGTCGAACAGGCCAAAAAAAAAAGAAAAAAAACACATAGACAGCGTGTATCGAAAGGGAAGAAAAATAAAACGAACCGAGGGAGAGAAACATTTTCGTTGCGTCCTCAGAACGAGGCGAAATCGTCTCGCTCCTCGGGGAAACGCGTTTAATCAACCTCTTTCACGGAAGTTTCTCCTCTTGCTCAAAGAAAGCGAACTGCATTGAAATACCCTCTTTGTAGACGTTAACGAGAGCGAAATGAATTCCACGCGTTTTCGAAGCTGCGCCAGACTGACCATTTTGAACCCGTTGATTAATTCTGACGCGACGTGTCGTTAGAAATGTGACTCTGACAGAAAGAACTTACGGTTCCGGCCGCGCTACGATGCCTAGACCTCGTCTTCGTGTTTCGCTGTTTACGAAATTGAACATTTTATCAGTTCTCAGACAATCAGTAATTTGATTTTCGGACGTAAACGCGGAGTAAACATTCAATATTTGTCGATGTGCTGCGATTTGCGATTGTGTATAATGCGTGGCGTGCAAAATACACAGAGCGCCATATCGAAATAATGATAAATCTATCATGATGATAAACAACAGTAACAATCTATTGTAAATAATTGTACGATCTCTCCAACGCCATGATGCCCGAATGTTAATCCCTAATTGGTTTCAATTTACGTACAAAGCTCGAGGTTCACGTTGCTCGATTTTTGAAATCGTTTCTACATTTAACTCGACTCGATTGCCGAATACGATGCTGATGTCAAATACGAAACGAGATTGTTCACATTGAATCGTTCTGATGCAGTAGAAAATATCGTACGATTCGAGAGCTGATAATAAAATGTCACTGCACACGGTGGCGCTGTCAGAAGGAGATGAAGGAATAAAGAAATAAAGAATTCAATACAAAGAAATATCAAGAGCAGAAACGTGAAGCCAGAAGAAGGTTAGTACCGCTTGTTGTATTATACTTTACCATTTCTTTATATTATCCTATGTTTTACTGCTACAGTTTTATAGTTTAGTCGTCGGTAGTTTTAATTCAACTCCGTGACCTAAGGCTGTTACTGCCTGGATCGTGTTGCAACCTGGGCATCAAGCGCCCAGCTTAACTGGTAGCAATTGACAACAGCTTCTTCTTACGTTTCCTTGTCTTCGTCAGTTCCTCGGGTTTTTCGTTAGTTGAAGTTCAAGAGATTCACGTGGCTCGATGCTAAAATTACCGACAACTATATAGTGCGAAATTTGTAGTTAACCTCTTGCATTCGAACGACGTGCTAACCACGTCGAGAATTTTTTCCTTTTGTCCCCAAAATTGCAATATTTCCCTCAATTTCAAGTATATTTAAGTATATAGCCAAATGCCAAAGCAAATAATAAATTTGTTAATTCTCAGTAACTTCTATCCAGTGATATACCGACGAGTTGAAAAGAAAATGAAAGCGACGAATTGTTGTGTACGGTTTGGTCACTCGTTACGGTCCGCAATCAGTTGCCAGCGCAAGTGGCGAAAGGGTCACAGTGAAGATCAAATGAAAAAGTACAGTCGAGAGAAGGGAAAAACGAAGCTCCGTCCACGTCAGCCTCGATTAACATCATTCTCATTAAAATATCTTCTCTTTTTTTTTTTTTTTTTTAATTAATCACTATCATCTCGGGTCGCGATCATCCGCCAGCAATTTTCTTATCGCGAGGATTACACCCCAGCTGCATTCAATTATACCACAATCGACGGAACTCTACGCTAATTGCATTAATTTCAATGAGAAAGGCCTTAGAGAGGCGTGGTACTTTATTTATAGTAATCATACTAATCATGCTACGCTGTCTCTACGAGCCAGAAACGATCCGCGAGCAAAGTTTCCAGCTCCTGGACTCTGTTCGTATTTTATTTCACATTGAAACGATATTCGACGATTTGGTTGAGTAGCTTGGAATTTATTAATTTACTACAGAGTCGTTTGGAGAGGAATTTCAATGAATATGTTTCATTCGTGCATAGTACGGGGATCGATTCGCTGGTAGGATTCGTTAAATAATATATCGTAGAACATAATTATCATCAACGAATTAAATTATGATATAATTAAAAATATTAGATTAAAATATGATCAAATTAAATTGAATTGAATTATAATTAAGTATCATAGATATATTTATATTACAATACATAGATATATTTATACACCATGTTAGAAGGAAATTCGATGTCTCAATCTTTGATATTATTTATATTATTTATTCGCAGGGCAAGATGATGCATTTATGCACCCTACCAAATAATGATTTTGTAATTTACGTATTTTACATTTATTTCTTACCACGAAATTAGATTCTTAGGTTAGGTCACAAGATGCTTCGTTAGCTTCATTACACGACATACAAGAAGAACAATCATGTGCTAATGAGTCTTATTGTCAGATGTTTATACTGACGGCGCAAAAGGGTTGGTTCGCTCTATGCCAGAATTATATTCATTCACTCGTAAATTAATTTTTAATTTTGAACTACAGATGACAGCGAAATCATTGCTTTTGCATGCATATTTTTATTTTTAAAACGTGTGAGATCGTTTCTCTAAAAAAAAAAAAACAGCTTTTTCGTGTAAGAAATAAAATAGTTACATTTATCATCCCAAAATGTGAACCAGCTAATTCAATAAATTGAGTAAGACCGTCAAATTTTCAATTAGAATTTAATTTCAATTTTAATTCAAGAACAATTAACAATAATTGAAGAAGAATTAACAATAAAATTATTCATTTACGTGTACATTATTTCTTTAAAACACAACTTTTTTCTATGCAAGAAATAAAAAAGTTACACTTAGTTAAGTTACGAGTAATTAACAAGATAGTCAATCAACTTATAAATTAATTCTTAGTTTTAAACAAAAATTAACAATAAAATTACATTCTTTTTTTTTCCTGCTCACTTCTACCTTTACTTTTACTTCTACTTGCTTACTTCGGCTTTTAAAACGTGTAAAACCATTTCAGGCAACGCTCTCGTGCAAGAAATAAAAAAGAGGAAAATTCTACTAAACTGATTTAAGTAATAGATTCTACTAGATCCGCATCCAACAGTGGAATGGAAACAAGGGGAAACGGGAGGCAAATTAACAAGTCCGTTCGATCGTTCACGTGAGCCGATTCTAAATGGCGACGGACATCGTATCAGAGGAAAATAAGGTTTTTCCATTCGATCTAACAAGTCACTCTGCTAATTCAATTCATGGGAATCTCTCCCGCGATGAGCATACTGAATACTATTAAATTTTCGTTGCACCAATGAGCAGAAGCGAGTTAAAAGGAAACTCGGAAGCATGAAATTTCAACTGAAAACGGACTCTCGTGATGAAACAGCGGACACAAAAAACGGTAATTTATGGTTTCTCCTTACAATTAGTTTCATCGAACAATCGGCGTACATCATCAATCAGCTCAAAGAAGCGAGGGAATGCAGTCAGAGAACGAGCAGCCGGGAATCTCATTGAATGCGCGATTAATTTTGAACGATGACTAGTTTGGTAAGATCAGAGACTGTGAGACTCTAACAGTAAGTCGAGAGGTCGGCTAATTTACGGTCCTTACCCCCACTCTCCTGATCGCTACTACATCTATCTCCCCACTACATTGAAGTGCAGTGGAGGGGGTAGTGCTAGCGATTAGAAAAGTAGGGGCTCACCGACCGCCACTGAGCCATCCTCTAACAACAAATTATAAAGTAGCTAAGTATCGATTGGTCGGAAGGGTAGAAACTTCACTAATGATCCTTCAACGACCAAGTCTAAAAGTCAAG